TACACTGCCAGCACTATACACACAGTTCATTGTTTACACGGCCTGCACTATACACACAGTTCATTGTTTACACTACCAGCACCATACACACAGTTCACTGTTTACACTGCCAGCACTATACACACAGTTCACTGTTTACACTGCCAGCAACACACACACAGTTCACTGTTTACATTGCCTGCACTATACACACAGTTCACTGTTTACACTGCCTGCACTATACACACAGTTAACTGTTTACACTGGCTGCACTATACACACAGTTCAATGCTTACACTGCCAGCACCATACACACAGTTCATTGTTTACGCTGCCTGCACTATACACACAGTTCAATGCTTACACTGCCAGCACTATACACACAGTTCACTGTTTACATTGCCTGCACTATACACACAGTTCATTGTTTACACTGCCTGCACTATACACACAGTTCATTGTTTACACTGCCTGCACTATACACACAGTTCATTGTTTACACTGCCTGCACTATACACACAGTTCAATGCTTACACTGCCAGCACTATACACACAGTTCATTGTTTACACTGCCTGCACTATACACACAGTTCATTGTTTACACTGCCTGCACTATACACACAGTTCAATGCTTACACTGCCAGCACTATACACACAGTTCATAGTTTTCACTGCCAGGAACATATACACAGTTCATTACGGAGATTTGTTTTCGAAAAGAACAATCTATTCCCGAAAATGCTGGGGAAATATTTTTTTTCTCTGGTCTGCTTGACGTTCTGAAAAAAGTTATGTATTGTGCGTCCCAAAATACTGTTCGGCTAATCATCTCGGAGAAATCAAATTGTACGTTTTAAGTGCTGACTGAAAAGCTATGTATGATGACCCTTGCGTTGTCAAACAGGCAGACACTAACGTATCTGGCACGGTGGAATGAAGGCAACCGTAGTTTAGATGTTTTCATTTCCGACAATCGGGGCATACATGTCTCCCTAAAAAACCATAGAATTGTGTGTATGCTATTCGTCTATTTTGCACACCAAAAACATCGACTAGTAGAAATATGAGTAGATTTTGCACACAAAATCTATTCGCGGGATTCAGTACCAGACAACAATGTATTTAGAATTCGCCTAATGAGCACACATATATTAATGAACAGAACTTTATGATATTTGAAACAGCAATTTACCAATGAAATCGCATCACAGCAAGATAAAACCACAAGCACACAGGGATGTTGATGGTGATAATAGAACACAGATATGCTGATATTGTTTACCGTTTGCACGTTGTAGTGGTCCATCTGCCAGTCAACACAACCATCATCGTCCAGCAGGTAGCTGTTCAGAGTGCAAGCACCGGGCAAGACTTTGCTAACGCTGAAGGAATGGCACTGGACTGCTTCCAAGCAGAGTATAGCACAGTTAAGTTGCGAATCTACCCTTGTCGTTTGAACTGTTTCTGGCTGGACGGTGGTGTTGAAGCACGGGTTAACTTCATGGTACTTGTCAGAATTGAAACTTCCTTCAACTCTCGCAAACATGAGCAGCATAAACCCCAGCATTTTGAAATGAAACTTGATCATGTTCCCACGCTCTTGCCCATCAACACTTCTTACTCATGGCAGGCACATTGATTTCTCAATCAATTCAGACGTATTTCTTGGAGGATGAGGGTTTGAAACATTCGTCTTGATAAGATCGATTCTCATAGGAAACCTACTTCCGTGGTGGAGATATCTTCAGGTGAAACAGAAATTAAAGTCCTGCTTTTACATTAAATGCGATTTTTTTATCTGTTTTTGAATCTTGTAGGTTGTCCTTTGAGATGTCTGTGGTTGTTGTTTTGATATATATTTACCCTTGCCAGCAACCTTTTACGCCCATTTGGTGTGATTACAAATGCTTCTATAGTACGACACATATCAAGGACTATTGTTCGTTTTTGGGACGTAGCTGTCTGTGATATATACTCTCCAAATACTGAGAGGGGCGAATAAATAACTCCACTGTTCTAACAATATTGATGACTTGGATGACATTCTGTATTTGGATAAGAAACTGGATTGTGTTTGTCATTTTGACATTCCGATGGGAGGCTGTATGGGTACAGGTCATATCCAAAAACTGTAGTGTATTAACTGGAAGTTTTCATAGAGCAGACAAAAGCAACTCATACTGGGAACTCATTGATAAATTGATAGGTAATGCCATAGACCTTTATATTGATACAATTATAACAGGAGATTTTAACATTGATTTTCTTGGAGTAAATAGACACAAAAAAAATGAATATCTACAATGGGCAGATAATCTGTGAGCCAACTAGTATAACCTATCATTCTAGTATGCTATAGTTATTATAATAGTATTGTAACGACCCTCGATTTGCTTGACCCGGTTTGTAGTGACCATTGTCCAGTGTATGTAGGGATTAACATATTTCAACAAAACTGTTTTGTATATATCAGAAATATATTTAATCATCATCTTATTGATGCAGATACTGATGGGCTATCAGAAGATCTCAATGGTAATGACTGGAACGAGTTAATTAATAGCAATTGCGTAGATGAAGCAGTGACAGAACTCACTTCAATACTTTGTAAAAGCTACGACATTTACTTCCCCAATAACATTATTACGGTAAGAAGCAAACGGTTAGAATTGCAAAACAAAATTACGGCAACAAATAGATGAAAAAAAATAATAATTCCCGAGGTTCTAAAACTTGGTGGAGTTTGGCGAACCGCTTCTTAAAAAACAAAAAATCCAAAAACTATCTTTCCAGCTGTTATATATAAAGATAAGGTTTATGATGATGATGATGTATGTAAAGCTAATATTTTAAACGACTTCTTCTCTGAACAATCGACGGTCGAATTCCCGTCAAAAACATTGCCAGCTGTAAGTACTGAGTTTTCTAACACATTGGACCATATTGTCCTCACCCCAGGGGAAATTCAAGATATTTTACTTTCTGTTGATACCACCAAGGTATCTGGACCTGACGGTATAAATAACAACCTTATCAAAGTTTCTCCTTCAAGTATATCTCTCCCATTATCATTAATCTTTAACATGTCACTTAAATATTCTGTTTTCCATCAAAATGGAAATTAGCATTTGTATTACCAATTCACACACACACAAAAATGTAAATGAATGCAGTAATTATAGACCAATCGCACTAACAAGTGGCTTGGCAAATGTATTTGAAAAATGTATCCATAAACATGTGTTTAACTTCTTCAAAGACATCAGTATTGTGAGCAAACTCCAGTGAGGCTTTATACCAGGTGATTCCATGAGCTACAAATTATTAGATCTGTATAATTTTATTTCAAAAGCGCTAGACAATGGAAAAGAAGTAAGGGCGGTGTTTTGTGACATAAGCAAGGCCTTTGATAAAGTTTGGCAAAAAGGATTACTTTATAAATTATCATCATGTGGAATTCGAGGAAACTTGTTGAAATAGTTTGACGTTATCTATCAAATAGAATACAAAAAGTGGTTATTAATGGTAAAGAATCACAGTTAAAATCTTTCACGGCAGGTATTCCACAGGGATCTGTCCTAGGACCATTGTTTTTTCTGATTTTTATAAATGACCTGGTTGATGATATAGACAGTAATATACGTCTCTTTGCAGACGATACGTCACTTTATATTATTGTCGATGATCCTAACACAGCAGCGATTAATTTAAATGTTGATCTAGAAAGGATATCCGTGTGGGCGAATAAATGGCAAGTAATGTTTAATCCACACAAAACCGAAACCATAATGTTTTCAAGAAAAATTAACCCAAGTCAAAAACCAAGGTACTCCATAACAGACACAAACATCGCACAAACACCTAGGGCTAATTCTACTGCAAGATGGCTACTGTTCAAATCATATAGATAATACAGTAGATAAAGTAAGCCCAATGATTAACTGCTTTAGAACTTTTAAATACCGCCTGTCCAGAAAAAACCGTTACAGAACATATATTTATCATTTATTTTACCAATATTCGACTATTGTGACCAAGTATGGGATAACTGTTCTCAAGAACAAGCGTTGGTATTAGAAAGGCTAAATTTAGACGCACTGAGAACAATATGTGGAGCTACTCGTGGTACCAGCCACGAGTCTCTATACACTGAAACTAACGTTACACCCTTATGCAAAAGACGGCAATCTAATAAATTAAAAACATTTTACAAAATGGTTAACAAGTTGGCCCCTGAATATGTATGTTATCTTGTTCCTCCAAATGCCTCAGCGGGCGCACGTTACAATTTAAGAACTACTTCACAGCTACAGACTGTAAATGCTATAACAGTTAAATACAAGTCATTTTTACCCGACACAGTGCGAATGTAGAATGAATTACCGGATAATGTTCAGTCAAAATATACTGTAAATATATCACCATGGCAGAAAATCCTAAAATATTTGGCTTTAACTTAGACTATGGTACCCGTTCCTGTCAAATAATTCATTCCCGCCTCAGATTAGGATGCAGTGATTTAAATGCACACAAATACCATAGATATCTTCATGATTCTACTCCCTGCTCCTGTGGATATCATTATGAGGATTCTTCTTTTCATGTGGCAACTACTGCAATCTTCGGAACAACATGTACTGCTATATAAAGGGATATGACTTGGATTCAGTATTATAACCTTATGATTCTAACCTTGCTATTGTACAGTCTGTCCATTTGTTCATTGTAAAATCTAAAAGATGTTAAATCTAAATATGTCTTCTTAATGATTACATCGATTAAATAGTTGTTAGTATGTATGATATGCTGGTATGCTGTTTGTTTATGTACCGATATATGTATGTGTGTATTTGTGTATTTGTGTGTGTGTGTATATCATCATAATATTTGCAACAATAGGTACAATTAATATTAGGTGTGATCGCTACCTCCTTGGCACGGCGTTACATGGTCGTCTATACAACGTCATAGCGCCCCAGCAATGGCATGAAAACGTTCAGATGTGAGAACAAAGAGAAACATTTTTTATATGTTTTGAATGTTATTCTTTATTGAATTGACGAAAAAACATATACAACTTGTAAATGAGAGGTCAGAGTTTGAAGGATTAGAATTTGTCATCGAGATAATCCAGTGTTGTTGTCTGGGTTGGGTGTTTTTTAGCCACGGTTGCAGCTGCAGGAACCGCCGGACCCTAGGATGAGGCCGCGCTCCTCGCAGTTGGGGCAACACACGTTCACCCCGTTGATGCTGCCGACGAAGCTTTGGTTGCAGCCGGAGCACTGACTCCCCCTCCAGCAATCCCCACGACTTTCTGGACAAACAAAAACAGTCACGCCCTTAACAGATTGACTGACTGATATAGAAGATTTAACGTGCGCTTTCCGACTGTAGCGTATTTCGCACACGGGCCTGGCCAGACCATTTAGTGTATTCCGAAAAGGGTGAAAGTGGTGTGTGCAACCCAAGAGGGGGCTTTTAGGGGTTGCTTAATTATATTGAATTTTTGGAATTTTTAAATTTGGAATAAATGCCGAGGTGGATGGAGGAGGGAACTAAGGGAGCCGGATGAGGTGGGTGTTTGTATGTTTATTTGATTTTGGATTGGTAGATTAATTAGTTTTTAGATGCGCTTAATTAGGTTTGTTTTGATTAGGAATACGCCTAGGGCCTTGAAGTTTTCTGGTTTATTTTGAGGGTTTAGTATTTCATCTAGAGTAGGAACCTTATTTAGATTGAGGGCGGTTTGTAGTGTGGTTCTGTGTGTTTGGTAGTGGGTGCAGTGGATGTGTGCGTGTTCTGCAGTGGGGGCAGTTGCCTGTGGTGTGCCTTTTAAGTTTTTTTAGGTGGTTATTTAGGTTAGTGTGTCCTGTTTGGAGTTTTGTAATTAATCTGTCAAATTTTTTTGAGGGGTGTAAGATTTTAGGTTTGGCTAGTGGTTTTCTTAGCACTTTTTTGATTTGGCTATTTGAGTTTTGATATTGATTATGCCATTTTTTGGTTATTTTTTGTTTGTTTACACTTTTAATTTCTGATTTTGAGATGGGTAGGTTTAGGATCATTTCTGGTATTTTGAGAGATAATTTAGCTGCTTTATCGGCGCTTTCGTTGCCGTAAATTCCTACGTGGGCGGGGATCCACAAGAAGGTTATTTGTTTGCCTGCTTTTGTTAGGTCGTTGGAGCTTTTAAGTATTTGGTTTATTAATTTGGGTCGTTTTTTGGTATTTTTGTTTTGGAGGGCTTGTAGTCCACTAAGGGTTTTGGTGAGAATTAGGATTTTATTGTTGTTTTTAGATTGTTGGTTATGCAGGGCTGAGGCCATGCCCATAAGTTCGGCCGTGAATATAGATTGGTTGTTAGGGAGTCGGTAAGATTGTGTGGATATAACTGGTTGTGTGGTATGGACTCCGAAGCCTGTGTGGTTGGAGATCGGGTCTGAAGATCCGTCAGTGTACATGTGACACCAATTTGGCCAATTTTCGTGTATGTATGCAAGTGTGGTGGTTTTAGCTATGTTTGGGTCTGTTTGTTTATTTATTTGGTTTGCTAGCGTTGTGTCTATTTTGGGTATTTTGAGTTTAGGGGTGAAGATATTTGATTTTTTGCAGTTTTGTTTAAGATTTTGAGTTTGGTGTTCATTGAGGTAGTTAGTTATTCTTTTGGATATTGGGGTGAGTACGGGGTGTTTGCGAGCTAGAGCTTGGTTTCTTGGGCTAATGTTTTGGTTAATTAAGTTTTGGATGAGAGGGTTTGTTTGGGACGCGGCCCAGAAATTAAGGCTTAGATGTTCCCTGCGTAGATTTAGTGGCATTTCCCCTGTAAGTGCCTGAAGTGAGGTGTAGGAGGTGCCATGTTGGGTGCGTGTAATTAGTTTAAGGGCTTGGTATTGTATTGAGACAAGTTTTTTAGATAGAGAGTTGTTTAGGGTATTGTATATGGCGCAGCCGTAGTCTAGTTTTGATCTAATTAGTGCTGTATAGAGTAAGAGGAGGGTATCTTTGGAGGCTCCCCAGTTAGAGCCGGTGAGACATCTTAGTGTGTTAAGGTCTTTGCTGCATCTAGTTTTTAGGTTTTGGACGTGAGCCTCCCAGGTGAGGTGTTGATCGAAAATGAGTCCTAAGAATTTGGTTTGTTTTTGGAATTTGATTGTTTGGTTGTTTAGCTGGAGGATTGGGAAGGCAGGTTTCATGTTTTATGTTTGAATACTACTCCTGTTGTTTTATCTGAGTTAAGGGAGAAGCCCCATTTGTCTGCCCATTGTTGTATTTTATTTAGAGATTTTTGGATTAAGTTTTCTGCCATTTTAATGCTTTTAGTGCAGATCCATAGGGCTCCGTCATCCGCGAATTTTGAAGTGTTTAGTTTAGGGGATAAGCCCTCGAATAGATCGTTTATCATTATATTGAAGAGGGTTGGGCTGAGGATGCTGCCCTGGGGAGTGCCATTTTCTAGGGGACACTGGTCCGATAGCGTATGGTCTATACCCACGGTTATTTTGCGATTGTTTAGGAAATCTTGGATGAAGTTTATTATTTGGCCTTTTAGTCCTATTTTTTTTAGTTTTTGTATTAGCCCGTGGTGCCACACCATATCGAAAGCTTTAGAGAAGTCGAGGAATATGCCTATGGTGTATTGCTTGTTTAGCTGTCCTGTTTTTATATCCTGTTCTAGTCGGGCGAGGTTATCGAGAGTTGATCTCCCAGGAGTGATCGTGGTTTATGATGTTGTTTTGATCTAGGTAGTGCTGTAGCCTATTTTTAGTCATAAGTTCCATTATTTTGCAGAGATTTGAGGTTAGGGAGATGGGCCTATAGGAGTTAGCCTTATCTGCTGGTTTATTTGGTTTAGGTATTGGGATTACTAGAGCTTCCTTCCATGAGGATGGGACCTGTCCGTTTAGGTAGACTAGGTTGTATAGTTTAAGTAAAGTTTGGAGTAGTTTTGGTAGGTAAATGTTTGATTATTTGGTAAGAGGTGAGGTCTAGGCCAGGGGCTGTTCCTTTTTTTCTATTGTTTAGTACGTGATTTAGTTCTTCTATGGTGTAAGGCTGGTATATTTCTAGGTTGTCTTGTCTGTTTTCTTTGGAGAATTTGGTTTCTTTTTTTAGTTTATCTTGGAATTTCTTACTGAAGTTACTGCTGCTACTAACTTTAGAGAAGTGTTTGGCTAGGTTGTTGGCCTTTTGGGTGGGTGTTAGTTGAGTTGTTTATATTGGGGCTTTTTTGTGCCGTTTGATGCCTCTGATGGCGTAAATTTTGCGCCACACCTTCCTAGCGTCGGTGTGGTGGTTTAGCTCCTCACATAATTTTTTCCAGTTTTTGGTTTTAGCAGTTTTAACTAGGTTTTGGACTTGGTGGTTAAGTTCGTGGGCTGTTTTGAGATGAGAGGGGTCTCGTTTAGCTCTGTTGAAAGCTTAACAGAGGTTTGCTTCAATAAATAGGAGTTTGTAGGGCGTTACATTTAACCTACCACGTGCTTTTGTAAAGGATTATATTTAAGAATGATCACATGATTACGTATGTCATAGAAACAAACACAAATGTGATACAATGAAAACTCGTTTGTCCGGTAACCTGGCATATACATCTCTGTATATTGACTGAATACAAGGCAGTACCAGTGATTTGTCATTTCTGAGGATTTCACAATGTAGCATAAACGTCAACGCCAGAGAATAACCAGTCTCGATTCTCCACCGAAACAGATTACATTGGGCGTAAAAGACAAAGGAGCCGTGAAATTTATATGAATGGATTAATAGAAATCAGTGATGTCAAGGCGAGTTTTCGCTGTATAGAATGCACTAAACAAATGTAAATGCATTTGGACTTACCACAGTTGAAGATGAAGTTGCCATTGGCATCATTAGGCTGAACTCGAACACCCACGAGTGGATTGGGGCAACAGATGGGCATTGTGTTGAGCGTGAAGTAGCGGGTCATACCAGGGGCAGAGCACTCCTCCCCTTTCCTGGCGGTGCCAGTCACCCCTGCATCGATGAATATTCATGATTATGATCATTAATTGAGTGGGTGAATAGGGTTGTCCAAACTTGGATATTTATATCACCTGACCAAGTTCCCGTTCAACATAGCGTCCTTAGCCGTAAGACGATCGTCACTTTCATATTAACATAGATTAACGGTAGTCGTAGAGTTTGGCTCGCTTTGTGGGCTCTTTTAACTCTAACTGGGGTTTGGAAAAAAGGAGTGTTTGAGTACCAACATTCCTGTAATATCACGACAGGGGACACCAAACACTGGGTTCAAACATAGTCCATGTGGGGAAATCGAAAGTTCTAATACCCAGGATTCTGTGTGTCCATAGTAAGCACCCGTGAAGATTCCCGGGTAGAATAGACTTTCAGCAACCCATTCTTGCCGTAAAAGGCGACTATGCTTGTTGTAAAAGGCGACTAACGGGATCGGGAATATTGCTGAGTGCGGCTTTAAACAACCAACCAACCAACCAACCATAGTAGGCAAACTGGTAATGGCAATCTGATATCCTGCATCTTGATACAAACAACTGGAATGTGTTCCCTAGGTACCTTCATTCATCCAAGGAGGCAGTCAGAACATATATTCTGCTAGAGTAGATTTCCTCATAGCTTTTTAAATCCGATTTCAATACCACACTGTTCGACAGTGTGGAGTGAAATTTGAAGCGGATGCTTTCACAATTTTGACATATGATCTTGTTCAGCACTGATAATTTATGCAAGCTATGTTCTGGCTGAGTGCGAAATTGGCAAAACCGGAAGCGCTCGTTAAATCTCCACCATTATCATCATCTGACTGAGAGAACACTCACATAAAAGTAGTATTGAAGCCAAATGATGGCGAGCGACACCAAGATTGTTCCTAACACATGGAATCGAATCTTTTGGTTAGGCGTTACGAGCCAACGCCTAACTGTAGGGCTTCCACAACATCTTTCAAAATGGCGGTCACCGTACTGCAACGTCATAGCGGCGTTATAATCACGCATACGTCCAATAACAAGGTCATCTATGAGTGCCTGAGTATTGTTTAACGCAGCAGAAACATCTTCAGTCACATCTCGACGGGTGAACTGAAGGTGGGAGGAGCAACGCCGGACGTAATGTAGGTTTACCACGTTTAGAAAACCCACGGATACGGGTATGGTGCTGACAAATACTCACGATCAAAGTTACAGTTACAGTAGGCTCCACGTGGCGAGACTCCGAAGTTGAAGAAGCGGCTCCTGCAGTTCGGGCAGCAGACCTGTGCAGAATTCCCTGATTGGAAACGCAACGTATCCACTTTATCGCCACTACAGCTGGCACACTGCTGCCCAACGCCACATGTAGCTGCAATGATACAGGACCAAGTAGAATGAGGAGGTGATGAGGTGAGGTGAAATGGGGTTTAACGTTAGATTATTGCACTTATATAGCGACGTGCATGTACGCGTGTGTGTGTGTTTGTGTGGCGGCTTGTACTAGTCCGGACTGATGCCGATTTATAGTGCCAGCTCACTGAGATACCATGCCGCAGTTTAACATGAATACCCCACTCAGACACAGTATACTGACTCCGAGACGACCAGTCCTTGTTTTAGCCCCTTAATGCCGAGCGCCAGACAGGGTAACAACAAGTACCATCTTTTAACGTCTTTTGGTATGACGCGGCCGGGGATCGAACCCCGGACCTTCCGCTCTCCGGGCGGACGCTCTACCACTAGACCACGGAGGCGGTCGAGGAGGTGATGAATATAAGTGTAGTATCATAATAGATTCAGTAACATCCTTTATCATATAATAGCTAATTGTATCGATGCGACAAATCAATCTGATAAACACGATATCACGATCTGATTAATATGCAAATGAGGTCATGTAGCTTACTTCAAGTAAGATCTATACATCGCTCTGCCTAAAAATACATTGCATATTGTTCCGAAAAGTTTAGAGAGACGTTTCTGGACGTGTGAGCGCTTGTGTAAACAAAATTTGACACTATATTATTATTTGGACGGTTCATTCATGTCATTGTATTCATACCCGATTACTAAAGTTAAAGTCTGTCTGAGAAACATCGATAATATTAAGATTGACATTAAATATGGAAATATGATATGTTAAAGATATTATGACAATCATGTGCTTCCGCATCGTACTTATAATATATTGGAATTCGCTATCGGACGAATATATAGATGCAGATACATTGAGTACTTTCAAAAAACATATAAAGAGGACTTAAAAAAATATGATAAGTTTTGATCTAAACTACGGGTCCAGATTTTGTCAAATTGTGCACGCCCGCCTTCGACTTGGATGCAGTGATCTTAATGCAGACCGGGTCGCACGATATTTATCAGATCATCCCGCATGTAGCTGTGGCCATCACACTGATGATGCAATTCACTTCTTTCTCATATGGCCAAATTACAATGATTTAAGACAGAATATGTACTATTATGTGAAGGGATATGATCTAAATTCAATTCTATTAGGTAATCCTGAAAGGACGTCAAAAATAAACTTAGAAATTCTTAAATCAGTACAAGACTACATTCAGCTATCCAATAGGTTTTGTGATTTTACATAGCATCTTAAATTTATAATTTAAATAGTACACTATTACTACTAAAAATGAGACCTGACAGCGCCGACAACGTAGTTTCTAAAATAAGAACATGTATACAATTGTATTCCTTGACTGTACTTTAGTCATATTATATTGTATTCTAATTCTGGAGCGGTATTCAAATAAGTTTTTGCTTGTTTACCAATCCAGTTCACATGTTGTGAAATAAATATGTTTAAAACATAATATATTACGAATACCAGGTACGTATTATCCCTATTCAAGATGTGTACTACCCGATAACACACACGGCTAATACTCTCTATTTAATAAGTGCGATGCATTCTCCACTTGTGGGTAATGAACCCCCATTCTTTTTCCACTCAACTACTAACAACCGTCACTCGAACGAAAACATATTGATGGGAGTGTGAAAGTGAGTGTTGTTTTAAATTTGTCTACAACTCCAAGCTATGTCACGTGATCAAGGCAAACCATTGCTTGAATACATGAATATCGTTCATTGGTTATCTCGTCCAGACATGTTTTAACAAAGGTCGCCATGATACATCTGGAAGCATCTTCCCGAGGCAAGAGAGTTAACTGACTTTAAAAGTCCAGTTTCCACCCTTGCCGAACTTGGCTGGAATTCCTGGGCTCGATCGCAGCGCCACCAGTAGTTATGTCCTTTCTATGCCTCTCCTATTGACTAATCAGATTCAACCTCTCGTATCACTTGCATTTGCTTCAAATAAAACGGCAGCGCCCAGTCAAGACGATCTGATCGATATTCAAGATCTATATTGTGATAAAACGAGTCTTACATTGCGAAGTGCATCAAATCACGTGACCACCTTGATTAAAAACATGAAAAGATTTAGAAAATATCTGTTGACAACGAGTGCGGTGCACAGGCTTTGCAAATCCTGCAGTCGACCGAAATCTGCATGACACTTTACGAACCGGATTTCGATTTCGGTGCGCGATTTTGATTGGACTAGCAGAGACTCGTTAGTCCAGCCAAAATGTAACTCCATAATACCAGCCTAGTTCGGCAAGGGTGGAAACTGGCCTTTTATAGGAAACGCTTTAAGCGTAGGAAAAGCACGTCTGAGGGGTTTAAAGATATTTGAAACCCGCATCCGTGGGATAAGGGTCTTAAATATCATAAAACCCGAGGGGAAGTGTTTTATCTAACTTTTACTTATAAACCGACAAAAAGAAACTTTGAACAACATTTATCAACATTTCTATGTTTAAAACATACTTTCCACGAACCTTAGGAAACGGGTGTAAACTATCTGTTGCTGCTGTACGGTACTTGAAAAAGACACATTAAAAACATTGTGATCGATCAGCACCCAGTGGTACGAAGGTTGCATGTTCGATCCTCGGGAATGTTCAGAATTGTCATTTGATTTTACATTTCATTACATTGTGTTCAAATGTAAAATAAATTTCTAGCTAGAAACATTCATATGTTACGATCTAAACGGAAGTTGTATGAATGATATTATAACTTATTATATGGCAAATGTGACTTGAATATTATATAAAACCCCGGGGATATTACGACATCCCTGTTTATGAGATTTAACCCCACTGGAGAATAATAGCATGACGTCACTGGAGGTTTATAGATTATGGGTACAGAGAATATATAAAACGCCTCTGTATATAGTCGGTACGGGATTTATACTTGAGCAGTAAACGATACTCTGCATAATGGGTACGTGGAAGCGTTCACTGCGGAACAGGAAGATATAGAGGATATGTCATGTGAAATATGAAATATAATGTTTCTCTCATCTCGTGACGGGGGAAAGGAGATGTTTTCCCAAATGGCGTAGCCACGAGTGAAAATATCTCCTTTCCATCATCACGAGATGAGAGAAACATGATATTTCTCTAGACACATAGAATATCCTTTTTGTCATAATTATACTTTTTGTGTAGTTGTTAAATCATTTCATTACAAATGTAAACGTTGAAACGTAAATTCTCCCTACATAACGCACAGGGACGTTTCACCACCCCTGTATTTGCGACTTAAAACATAGTTCGGTGTTTGCAAAATTATAAAACATATAAACAAGAGGAACATAAAATACTTGAGTTCATTAAAATTCTTTATCATACATTTGAATATGATCATATACAGAGTCAACTTCAACAAACACATTCTTGAAATCTACGAGATCGCTGTTGGCGAAAGAACACAGGCTGGTCAAATAACAAACATGGCGTTTAGCGAAACGAACAGTCTAGATTGACGAGTTAAATGAGAAATTTACAGTTTTGGGCGATATGTTTACAAGAGAATAGCAAACGGCAAGAATGACCATCTGTCATTATTTTGTCTTGTCAATGTGGAACTAATGTAAAAATGAGGTCCACACTTTGGTTACGGGCTTGACGCTTACGATAAAGGGGAGGTAACTCTTGTATGACAATAGTTTCGTCAAAGTGTTCTGTTCACTGCAGTGAAATATCAAGTGTTATGTTCACTGCAATGTAAATGTCACTTTTCTCAACTTCATAAAAATCAGTCTTTCACAGCAAAGTATATAATAAATATTTATCCAACGTTTTAGATTATTTGTTATTCAAACAGCATTCTGTGTAGTAGTCTCCATGAAATGAAAATCCCCACTAAGTACGTATTATATCACTGTTACAAAGTGTCTGTGTATAGCTCAATCTAAAGGTATAAATAAACAATTCTAACACGCAATAAGGCCCCGGTCATATAGCTGGAATATTGTTGAGAGGGGCGTTGCACAACAAGCAAACAAACAAAACAAAACCACGCAATAGGGGGAGCTTCGTTACTTACTTCCTTGAGCCGACACCGGGGACGACGTGTACAGCAGACAGGCCGTTACAACAGCAGCAACAACAACGACGGATACAAGAGCCATTCTGCACTAATCTGAGAACAGATACAATCTTGTTAAAAAACGATTTATACATATTGTTTCAACCAGATCAACTTGAAAAAAATAAGGAAATTTAACGGATAACAATCGTTGTTGGTTTTTTAATGCAGAACCTTGAGCAATTGTACAACGTATTTTATGTGCAATGCATACTCACAGTTGTCACATTGTCAAAAGTGTCAGTTGGTTCTCTCAAGTATTTATCTACCCGTCATGTGTTTCATATTATTCCTATGTGAGAACCATTTTCACTCTATCATTATTTAAACACAACTGATGTACTGTCTCTAATAAGAGCCCACCCTTGTTAAATTCAGTTTACTTTCATAGACGGTCCATATTATTGATTGTTATATAATAGTTAGAGCCCCGATCCTTATTCATTACGTATATATATGCCCCCCGAAGATCCTGGCTAGACCTATGCGTGTCGAATGATAGGGTGGTCAGGCTCATGATGTCAGTCATTGGATTGTCTGATCCAGACTCGATTATTTACAGACCGCCATCATGTAGCTTGAATATTGCTGAATGCGTCGATATACAACAACAAAAAAACATTTGGTGTCTGTGACGGGAAGGGACAGCCTAGTTTAAGGACAGGCCATGTAGATTTTTGACAGAGACGGGACAACGAAGAACAATTTGTGCTTTTACAACACATCCAGTACGCTTTATCATTCCTTTAACACTACGACAACCAAGAGAGAGAGAGAGAGAGAGAGAGAGAGAGAGAGAGAGAGAGAGAGAGAGAGAGAGAGAGAGAGAGAGAGAGAGAGAGAGAGAGAGAGAGAGAGAGAGAGAGCACGCACAACTTGTGTTATCAGAGTAATACCCCGTGAATAAATACTGACTTACCGTGATACTTGCAACGAGCAGAAGTGTACAATGAACACTGAAATCAGACATATCAACATATATACTCGTATAACATCCGGTTGTGCCCCGTACCAAGGATATTACACACAACAGTTGCGACATTTCCAAACTACGCAAGACGCTGCTTATCAATTCACACAACACATCCGCGTTGTCAGCTTGTTGACAGCTTGTTGGCGTGCTTTTGAACATTTTTTTTGTGGATATATTATGAATGTACAAACAGTTTACGGCGTGTTCGAGTTTCAAAGAAAACAACAAAATAGATGTCACTAAACTCATTTGTTTTGTGCGATACGCTTCAGAAACAGTACGAAAAACACGATGGACTATTCCAGTAATATCAGGGTGGATACAATCACTTTACTATTATACATTTTAACATAAACGATTCCTTAACCAAAATGTTTAACGGGGGTGGTTAGCCAACCCAATTGTTATCTTTTCATCATGCTGCATATATTTCTTTGCAAGTTTAATTACACGTGGGCGGTCGGGTAGCCTAGTGGTTAAAGCGTTCGCTCGTCACGCCGTAGACTCGGGTTCGATTTCCCCACTGGGGGCCATTGTGTGAAGCCCATTTCTGGTGTCCCCCGCCGTAATATCGCTGGAATATTGCTAAAAGCGGCGTGAAACCATACTCACTCACTCACTACTAACACATTATAACTGAGTAAAGATAGGATAGGAGTAAAGATGACTTTCAAATTATCAGTGTTTTGAGAGAGTGAGTTTCTTTCAACTGTAGGTGAGGTGAGGTGAAATTGGGTTTAACGTCGCGTCCAAGATTATTGCACTTATATAGCGACGTGCATGTACGTGTATGTATGTGTTTGTTGCTGCTTGTACTAGTCCGGACTGATGCCGATTTATAGTGCCAGCTCACTGAGATACCATGCCGCAGTTTAACATGAATACCCCACTCAGACACAGTATACTGACTCCGAGACGACCAGTCCTTGTTTTAGCCCCTTAATGCCGAGCGCCAGACAGGGTAACAACAAGTACCATCTTTTAACGTCTTTTGGTATGACGCGGCCGGGGATCGAACACCGTACCTTCCGCTCTCCGGGCGGACGCTCTACCACAAGACCACGGAGGCCGCTCTTTCAACTGTAAACCTTATTCAGTGTTTCTTTTTTACATCATCTATTTTATTTGACTTGACAAGACAAGACAAGACAATTTTATACAGTATAGAGGTCAGTGGCCCAAAATACAGACATGTAAAGGTTTCATTTCTGAGCGCTATTTTGCATCCATACACACATACACACACATACACACACATACATGATATATATATATATATATATATATATATATATATATATATATATATATAAATACACACATACCGTATGTAGCATTCTTGGAAAATAGGTATATTAAGTGGTAGTGAACATATTTCTTATTTTTTGCACATAGAATAGGTATAAACAGAGATCACTTATTGTATTCACTATATTTGACTTGATCAATGAAGAAACTACGGAACAGTTAATATTTTCTAGAGAATGAACACTAATCAATAAATCGATATCAGTTTTATGATTTAGTTATATTTGCTAGATGTAGAACTATAGCACAACAGACGACCCCCCCCCCCCCCCCCCTCTCCATCCCCTGCCCGCCCAAACGAACCCAAATGTCCCCTCAAACACATATACACTCAATTAAAACAGGCATGTGGTCATATCTGTCACATCAAAGGCGACGCTCGCGTTAAAACTAAGCGGAAGATGTTAATTATTGTAAGAAATGACACATTCACTATTTATTGCAATATTACAAGATTGATAGCAGAACATATACCATACACGCTAATTGTGTCAGTTATTGTTTTATATATTTGTTATAAGAAATTCGGAGAACAACATGCCGCTCTCTTTCCGAGAATAGTGTCGACAGGATGGAATATTTTAATGTTCTTTGCCTCGCTCTGCTGATTTCTTTCGCAATAGCTTCTAGGAAATTCCCCACATGTGATTACACATAACATACTTGAACTGTGATGCAAGTGATATACACAGACACACAGAAGCCCAAGGAAACCAAGTCGAAGCATGACTCGAATGTATAGCCTATAGGTCAACATTGTGTGAGGAGGGGACCCACCCATACGACACTCCGGATCCGTGGTTTGCGTGTTATGGCAGTTGGTACAAGTAGGCTACTGTTCGGTATGTGACGTTATTGCCGTTCACTAGCCTTTCTTACTCGGTGTAGCTATGCATTATTAACTATGTATACAATGTACGTCATCAATCCATATTATACCACAAGGGCCATGTGTATCTTCAAACGCAGCTCATGGCATTATTCCTAGTAATCTGGTCTAATTAGCAGATTATATAACTCTTAACTTACCTGGATGTGGTACGCATGAACATTTGCCCCATCTTGTTCTTAATCTTAATTTGGTGCATATTCCTTGATTTTCGAAGGATATCACAACCTGTTAGAAGGGTACTTTTGATTACGCCGATGTGGCTTGTTCATTTCACGTGCACGTGCCGAGTCCGTGCAAATTAGCCAGGTGTGCGACACACAGTAGTCAGTCCATGTGCACGTGCCGAGTCCGTGCAATTAACCCAGGCGTGCCAGAAACTAGACTTGCCCCGGGCATGATCTTTTTTTATTGATGACTATGGACATAATCTTCATATTATTATTTTATTTATCCATCTATTTTTGTTTTATATAAAATTTATCTAGTACTTCGGTTCACACAATCTGTTATGAAAACATATCTTATATTATTTCCCCCTCTCAGTTAGTTTCTCATTACTCTACACCAAACTATGGTGACTTTGATTTTTTCCTTTCTTCTTACTGTTCATTTTACCAATATTTATCACTTACATTTTCCCCAGCAAATCCTTGTGTTTTACTGTCCCTATTGTGCAAATATGAACTTGTATATCATCGCTGTTATTTCCAAATGTATTTTTGAAGACGTCCTCACACTTTCACTTCCAACCACCGATTGTGTGTCAGTATATAATACTTGGCTTGAAATGAACTTCGACGATGGGGGTTGATATTGTGTACATAACAGGCTTTCGGTGGGCATATTTGCAACAGTACTCTGTTATATCAACCTCAGCTGCTTCATATATTTCCTGAAACTTTTCGTCTTTCAGCTTTTGTTTGGAACGGCGATGCTGCTTCCTAAAGATACGTTTTGCTCTTTTATACTCAATGTAATTTGCATCCTCTTTATCATGGGATTTACCATTATAGGACCATTCACTACGGCGTTGTCGCATTGTACGATGCAACGTATTTAAATTAATTTATCTTTTTTCCAGTATGGTTTTAAATGAGATTGGAATTTTGAAGATGGTATACTTAGTTTAGCTGCAGCATGTAACGATTGTAGGATATAGTCGTGATAATTTTCAATCTATTCATGAGGAGATGCGTACTGAGTTTCGTCAAACTGAGCACATCTAAAATAGTTTTCAGTTTCATACTGGTATAACATAAAGTCTACGTCATTAGCTTTACGCCAGTTAAGATGTTCACCGCCATAGTGGCGTGGCTGGGAATCAGTACACAGACATAGGAATATTGGACATTGGTCTGATACTGAGTATTGAACTCCAGTATCTAAAGTATAACCAATAACGTTACTTACATGTTGGAGATTAATGAACGCATAATCTATCATACTTCTTATAGTTTTACATTTACTTGTGAAGGTAAAAATAGCATTATCATCAAGGGGTACGACAGAAATTAGATTCCGTTCAGTGAGCACTCTCTGCAGATATTTCGCTCTGCGTTTCAATATAATTCCATGACGCAGGTCTGCATTGAAATCACCTAGAAGAATTGTCTCCCCTTGAGAGCATCTATCATAAATCTCCAGTACATTATTAAGTTCTTCTATGTATACACTATCTAATACGTTAGATGAGGGAAGGCGAGCACCAATTATATACATAGGGCATTTATTAATGAAGAGTTTAGCCCCAATGATATGCTCGCTTGAAGGTATACTGATTGCTGACGACCTCGGATTTGTACTTTTACGAATAAATATGGCTATAGCCCCTGCGCCTCTTTGTGATAAGTGGTCAAGCTGACCTTTAACATAGACGTTAAAGTCATCATCCAAGTCATAGAGTAGAGATTCACGTGTGTCTTCCAGCCAGTGTTCGGTAATAACCATAATGTCAAAGCTCGTTAGTTTTGAGCGAATTTCATCTAAGCAATTCAATGCCCCACGCACATTCCGAGTAATCATGCGAATGATTGCCATTAGAACAAGTATGTATGTCGCAAGTCTAAAATTGTTCCTCTTCATTATTAATGTTCAGCCTTATCGTCATTGTACCACACATTATTCGGTAGTCATTCACGACAATTAACGTTTTCGGGCCAGAAGCAGTCATCATCCAAAATGATATCTGCACATTGCTGTGGGACAGTTATTCGAATGGTGAAGGTAGGATTGCGTCGCCCTTCCCAGTGTTTCATGAGTCTCACATTTGTGATAGTTACATCACGATTCTTAGCATAGTCACATATAGCATCTTTAACAACGTCAAATGGTTCGTCAGCTCTGACATAGCTTGGGATGAGTCTTTTGTTTCTATTTCTATAGACACCGGCTAAAGACTTTTCCCACTGATTGTTGAATGTAACATTTCTTGACTTCTTTACATTGTTTACAGGTTCAGTTTGCTTTTGTCTGTCGACGTCGACGTCGACGTCGACGTCATCATGCGTGACAATGAGCGGCTCGGGGGAAGTGTCTTTAGAGCTTGGGTCTTTACTGCCTGCATTGTCATGAGTCTGAGGTCTGAATGGGAGGCTTGGGAATTGACGAGAGTCTATACTCGTGCAATCGGTCCTCTGAATGGGTGGGGAGATAGGTCTGTTGGAATTTGGCCTTCCCTTCGTAACAGTCTCTGAATATAAAAGTTTGTCCCTCACAAACCACATAGTTAACAAACAAAAAATCACCAAAAAATGGCATAACCTATATCAAAACTCAAATAGCCAAATCAAAAAGGTTGTCAAAAAACCCCTAACCAAACCAAAAATTCTACATCCGTCCAAAAAAATCGACAGAGTAATTACTAAACTCCAAACAGGACATACCAACCTAAATAACCACCTCAAAATAATAAGAAAACACGCAACAGGAACCTGCCCACATTGCAAACAACAAGAAACCCCAGAACACGCACTCATACACTGCACCCACTACCTAACACACCGAACTACACTACAAACCACCCTAAATCTAAATAAGGCTCTTACTCTAGAAGCAATCCTAAACCCACAAAATAAAATAGAAAAATTCAAAGCCTTAGGCGTATACTTAATCAAAACAGGACTAATAAATCGCATTTAAAACCCCAATAAACTACCAAAACCAGACCACATAATCAAACTAACAAACTTCCATACTCAGGTCCCTTAGTTCGTCCCCCAAACCCTCTTGGCATTTTTTCAAAATTTCAAAAATTCTATTTAAGCAACCACTAAAACACCCCTACTGGATTGCCAAACAACTTTTTCCCCTTTTCGGAAACACATTAAATGACTTGGCCGGGCCCGTGTGCGAAATACGCTGCAGTCGGAAAGTGCACGTAAAATCTCCAATATAAGTACGTAAGTAACCACATAGATGAGAAGGGGTTTGTCAGGCTACAAGTCGCATTGATGAGAAGGGGCTTGTCAGGTATCACAATACATTGATAAGAAAGAGCTTCTCAGGTATAAATCACATAGATGAGAAGGGGTTTGTCAGGCATCAAGTCGCATTGGTGAGAAGGGGCTTGGCTATGAAACATGTTGTCCACCTGTTATCATATCGCGGCGTATCTTGTATTCCGTGATCCGTACCTCTGAGCAGCATATGGTAGTCCATCCGTGACCCCGTCGAAATGGGACAGAATACATATGTGACAGAATAAACATAAGATAGCGTCAAATACCTTTATTATATCGTGGAAGCAATAGCAACTATACACATAGCAAATGTCAGGGTTCAAGAGAAAATAATAGCTTCAATTAAAGAATAAGTATATCTAATACTTATTCAAATGAACAATTTTCTATACGACCATTCCTAGGGGTTTCTGAGTCCATAGGAACTTATGCTTGTCGTATAGACCATTAACTTGCTCACATCACAGACATCCAACCTGTAATGGGAAATAATTCAACCTTTCACAAACACAGATATTTGTTAAATGTTAGCTATTTCTCTTGACTGACAGAGTGAGTCAGTGACGATTTTTTACATTGCAGATAACAATAATCCAGTTATTCAACCCCAAAACAGTTCAAGAACACAGGATATTTTCAAATGTCTTGACAGATTAACTATGCACACATGAAAGAACCGGGTGTTCTTTAACTTCTTTAGGGTATTACATCTCATGGTGGTACCAGGTAATAGTGGTTGATAGTAGGAGCAATGACCCACACAATTGACTTCAATAAAGCGGGCACTGGAACCTGTTTTGACCCGGTGACCAAGCGGGGGTACAACTGACTGGAATTGAGGAGAATGACGTATTGGCAAGGGGTATGCGTTATATCATCATTATATATAACACAACGTTCAGATTTTGGTTATAATAGGTCCCCAGCGACCTATCATTGCCGTGCCATAAGAGTCGGGAGATCAGACTTTGTTACTTGGATTATAGCGTCCTATCGTACCCCGACAACATGGGGTGTTGCTCATATCATCAATCACTGATTTGTCTGGTTCAGACAGGAATACGTATAGGCCATCGCCAAATAGCCGAAATATTGCATTTGTCCATACAAGCTGACACCACGTATCCGACCACCGCAGTGTCGTACACACAGATCTAGACGTACGTATAACTTTATATCCAGATATCTGAATTGCCTGTAGTTATCTCCAATACTGATGACTTTGAGACGATATCTGCTAGAAAGACACCCTCACGTTATTAATATACGAGTCACTGGTTATGGCAAACAATCTGTCCTCAAGTTCGTCTGTACACAAGCTCTCAGAATAGCTCCCTGGGGGGTAAAAGTGTTCTGGTGAGAACTGTTTTGATTCTTGAGACTTGCCAAGGCCAGATGCCGGGCAGACATTAGTCGCAAACTCATCATTAGTCGGAAACTCTGTTTCCACAGTTGAACTCCTTACTGCCTCTAGGACAAGTGTCACAGCTTCAGCACTGTCAATAGACACATCTTGTGTTTCAGATGACCTATCAGTGCAAGCCATAGCAGACACGTCTTTAAGTGTAGGAATTAAATCTTCCGGATCAACAACAACTTGTGTACATTTTGAGGCTGAATTCAAAACCAAACCCTGATCACTCTCGTGCATGAACACCCGTGTCGAAAACCACTCAGGAACTCTTTGTTGGTAAGCCTTAGCTTCATCGACAGCTTTCACGAGGGCCTTTCCTTCAGTAGTTCCTAAGATATCACTCTCACCGAGACTGCTCTTGTTACAATCATGTATGTGATTCACAAGGTCAAGTAAATTCTCAGGTAACTTGTAATGCAGACCTGGGTTGAAAGGAATTAAGTCATTTGTGTTGGTGTAGTTGAAATACGCCATGATGGTGGTATACAGGAAGTCGGGTTTTCCTTCCTTCGAGCGCAGGTGTGACGTTGAGAATGAGAAAGCGTCAGCTTCGGGTCCGGAGTCTTCTACCCTAAAATGTGTATCCCAGTTTCTGGCAGTGTACCTCGAGTAGGCTACTTTGGAGTTCACGAGAACAACAAAATCGGACTTGTCTATCTGGGTGGAAATCCATTCATACAATCCTGTTTTACGAATATCTGGGATAAACCACTTGGGGTATATCACATCGCAGTTGCAATGCTTTTTGAGAAGTGTGGCAAGTGCCATAACTGCATCGGTATGTGCTGCGTGGTCGTCGTAAGCAAGGAGGTAGACTCTTCTCATGCGAACCCACTCATCTGAAAGTGGATTGATTAGTGGGTAGTTTTAAAGGTATGAGTAGCATTGTTTAACGACGCACTCAGCAATATTTCAGCTATATGACAGCGGCCTGTACATAATCAGAGCTGGACCAGACAATCCAGTGATTCACATCATGAACATCGATCCACGCAATTGTAATCGATGACATGCATCAACCAAGTCAGCGAGTCTGACCACCCGATCCCGTTAGTCGCCTATTACGACAAGCATAGTCGCCTTTTACGGCAAGCATTGGTTGCTGAAGACCTATTCTACTCCGGATCTTTAACACATTTATTCATGTAGTTGTCGTTGGTTGTTTGGTTGTCTTACGCCGCACTCAGCAATATTCCAGCTATATGACGGCGGTCTGTAAATAATCGAGTCTGGCCTGACCAGACAATCCAGTGATTGACATCATGAGAATCGATACACGCAACTGGGATACGATGACAAGCATAATAAATCCAATTCAGCAGCCTAAGCACCCGATCCCGTTAGTCGACGAGAATGGGTTGCTGACCCGGGTCTTCACGGGTTGCATTAAAATCATTTTCCCGAGGCAAGAGCCTCCATTAGCCTTTTCATCAAAGCATTGTTGCCACCCTTGCCACACCAAGCCCACATTCCTGTGCTAAATATGATTTGACTATCAAACATAAAGATAGTCCAATCACAGAACGTTTCACAAAATCAACATCCACGACTGGTACACCTTCGTATGAAAGTGATTTACCGCTGCCTGTCTTTGTTGAAACGTCATTTTCATATTTTAAACCCCCAAAAGATTGCCTACGTTTTTTGTCATGGATGAAATCGCGAATGTTTTCGTTATCAACTAGGTCGTCGCCTATGGTAGTCGCCATCTTTGTGAAGCTATACGAGATAAGAACAGCGATCTGATTGGATATCGCGTCTTCATTACAAGGGGCACAACTCGTGATCTACGCGAGGGGGCGCCAGGGTGGAGCCAAGAAAAGTGGCCTTGATACGGCAAGCGTAGAAACCAGATTTTGATATAGGCTAGCGGATACGCTTGCCTCGGGAAGATGACCTAAATTGACATATACGTTTTAATTTCTTACTTTATTGGTTTTTGTGGTGACAAATTCTGACGGATAGAGGAAAGGAATTTTCAACAAAAGACATATCACTGAATTTGTTTTGGTCATTAACACGTATTTTAGTATGTTTCCATGTATGTAGTGTCATTTAAGCTTGTTTCGTGGCTTAACCTATTTTCCTGCCGTTGAGTTTGTACATTGGTTTGGTTGTGAACATGTGTACATTCAGGTCATTACAAAATAGTACCCTACATGGTTTAATGTCACACTCCGGCGCAGTGGTGACTCAGCATAACACCACTGCCACAGGCTAATTTGCATATCATGTGACCGGACTATTCTCTTGTTTGTAAACAAATGCGCTTTTTTCAGAAATCAGTATAGAACAGACTTATGCAAGTATTTGTGGGCGCTTTTTCAGGATCGGTGGAATCCGGGAACCATTTAAATATTATCTCGCCACTTGATGGTATCACGTACCTTTCACTTGTACATGTTTTCGTGTGAATATGATGATCAAAATGACGGTAGACATACACACCAGACAAAGACACACTCCTGCGGCGATTAGCAGTGTCTTTGTTTCTGAAATTAAAGCAACAATTAACACAACTCGCTCACTTTCTGAAACAAACGACACGGTATGATAATGACCTCTTTTGGCCAACTGGAACTGTCAGATATAAGATGGGAAGAAACTTGTAAAACTTGTTCCGAATAGCATTTCCATTCTTGATATGTACTCAGCGTCATTATTCAAGGGTCACCAATGTATGTAGGGTGTCATATATGAACTTATCATTTAACTAAAGCATTTATCCATGACATAAGCTTATGACATAAAAACATGTATGTCATACCCCAATGACATAAGTATGCAAATAATATATGCAAATTAGCTAACCGGAAGAGAGAGCGGTTTGATTTGAAACTATATATTATAAGTGAAGTTACACCAGAGATATAATCAGATTACACAGAATCGTTGTTGTTACCGTTATTAAAGTTTCAATTATTCTGCCAAAGTCTGTTCAAGTATTTTGTTTAAAATAATCCGAGGAACTTTTTTTCTCAGCGAATTGTTTATTTTGGTTTACATGGCTATGGAAAACATGTATCACTACGCACGAGTGAGAATACGCACGTAAGATTTCGACAAGTTGCTGATGTTAATGTTTAATGCAATTATTCCTTAATTTGGAAGCAAAAATGTGAAAATGATAAATAGAATTCATCACTCGTGTTTTTTAATATGGGAAATATCAACCTCGTCCCGTTAATCGGTATTTGCCTCGCCAAAGGCTCGGCAAATACCGATTAACTAAGACTCGGTTGATATTTCCCATATTAAAAAACACTCGTGATGAATCCTCTATATATGCCAACAAGCGTCAATAGGTCTGAGTATGTTGGCAATAAGAACAGTTCAAGAACATGTTGTTTATGTCACTCTGATTAGATGCTGTTTTGAAACTGTAAAATTGAGAACGACTATTAAAACAATGAACAGTGCAAGACTGAATGCGAAGAAAGAGCTACCCAAAATTCACGCCTGAAGGCAACTAGGGGTTTAGCTCAGGCACGTGCAATGCATAACGAGTAAGAGTCAATGTCGAGATAACATGATCGATTCCAGACGCAAATATAACCGCAAATTCCCGTGATCACTAATATGCTATTTATGAAATTCATTTCATGGAGTAAAAGTCCGAAATTAAGATTTCCAAACATGCTGTAAATAACGCTGTGAGTGGTGATTTAGTAATGTGTAAAAAATGGCGACATTTACGATGTACCTAATTGTCAGAGGTCATTTTCAGTACTTTTGCTTGGTTTAAAATGCCAGTGGATGATATCACAGAACAGGGAATTTCCAACATTACTCAAAACTGTGAAGTGTATTTGTGTGGGTGATGTATTTTGAATTTTATTTGACTTCAAAGTGAGGGTTGTAGAGGAGGGAAATATTGGAAGTTGAAAATGTGACGTTTTTTCAGTACCTTTATTCCTTATTATTTAAAGCGGTATAAAATATATTTATATAAATATTTGCCAGGATATAAGTTTCTTGGTTAATCGACAACATGACAGTGCCCATGCTTTCATCGAAGTGGTAAACGACTACGACCTGCGTATCTTTTGGGTTTATTCCCCCAACTAGTTGTCCCGCCGTGATATATCTGAAATACCTTTAAATACAATTTGTGACTGTTATCCTTGACAAATACACAACACATCAAACAATAAAAACAGGCTACTTATGACGATTGACCGGGACATGAGTTTCAGAGGAACTATTTTGTTGGGTTAAATTTATTTTGACATTATATTTCCATGTAGGTAAACATTTCTAAATTCAAACGGGGTGACTGGGTAGCCTAGCGGTTGAATGATTCCCTCGTCACACCGAAGGACCGTGTTCGATTCCTTCATTGGTACTGAAAAAAAGCTAAAAGCGGTCTAAAACCACAACCATCCACACATGCAAACGAAAACAAATGCAAAAAGCAATGAAAAGCATACAGTTACTTGAGTATCGGGCACGAAGCAATATATCTTTAATGTACACTCTACCAACTTAAGCAATGTACCTGCTGATGATACTTACTGCTGTCACTAGTGCCTGGCGGAATATTTCGCTTTGTTGCTGTTCGTGTCTCACCTGGTCTCTCACCTGTAATCAGAAATCACTTTTCATACCCGGGCGATCACACACCCAACCCAGTATGTCACCCTTACTGCAGAATAACGCCTACTCCACGTGTCCATAGCCTCTGAGGAATGTATGATCTCAAACATGCATCCTAAACTATAGACTGAACCCACACTCCCCTTATATGATCATATGTACGAAGCTAGATTTCAATCAGAACATGGGCGGTCGGGTAGCCTAGTGGTTAAAGCGTTGGCTCGTCACGCCGAAGACCCGGGTTCGATTCCCGACATGGGTACAATGTGTGAAGCCCATTTCTGGTGTCCCCCGCCGTGATATTGCTGGAATATTGATAAAGCGGCGTAAAACCATACTCACTCACTCACTCACTCAATCAGAACATAACCATATGTATCAATCATAATATGTGTTAACCCACTCTACGAACTGTAAATACTCACCGTCCTCACTAGTGCTTAGTAGAATATTTGACTCTGTTGCTGATTGTGATTCATCAGGTCCCTCCCCTGTAAGTAGAACCCAACATTTAACGTTAACGTTGTGAGTCATCCTTGATTACTGTGGACCACAGCATATCCAACCCAACCTATTCATAAAATCTGTAAAGATGGCCAAGGAACATTATAGAGAAAACTCACAATCCAATATATTCAGATATATTTATATCAGTATGGAATGTAGATTTCAAACCGAATTAAATTCACCAATATCCTAAATTACTGTAATAGCTCCCCACCCCCGAACACGCGATCATCAGCTTGCACAGCGATTGGCAGCGCCTGAGACGAATGGCCTAGCCATGTCCCCAAGTGTTCATTTACGAAGTCCATTTATGGCGTTCCCCGCCTTGATATTGCAGTAGGGGAGGTCGGGTGTTTAAAGCATTCGCTCGCCACGCCGAAGACCCGGGTTCGAATTCCGACATGGGTACAATGTGTGAAGCCCATTTCTGGTCTCCCCCGCCGTGATATTGCTGGAATATTGCTAAAAGCGGGGCAAAACCATCCTCACTCACTCACTCACTCACTGATATTGCAGTAATATTTCTCAAAGCGGCGTAAAACCACACTTTTCCACTCGCTCATTACCAATAACAATGTTCTTCATCCGTGTTCGCAAGCACTCCTTGCGCCTGTGTTTGCCAGATTCTTGAACAGAGAAGCACAGGGCATAGTTGTGTTCACGCCAAAAGGGATCCCTTGCCTGGACCTTTAATACAACACAAAATATATCTACTTAATTAACGTCTTGGTGTACGGAATCTGGTCGACAAGTGGCAAAAAAGATCAAATGTTTTGTGCGTTAAAATGTCATCTCCACTCTATCAGTAGAGTCCAATCCAGCTTGATAACCGTGTAATATTCTACATCGAAACGTCGCTAAATACAATAAAGTTGTTATCCATAAAGTTGTATGTTTTCTTACTTATCAGATTTGATATTGCATTCTGTTCATTTTTATGGTTGCAGGGATTCGAAAACCAAATGAAAAAAGTCTCGACCAATAACAATACTCGCACTTAAAATTCCACCAATGTACCCGGACGGTCACAATACATTAAGGAGAAGACGTAAACGAACGAAAAATCAATAAGGCTTAAAACATAAGACATACATTACAGACATATAAAACGTGTCATGGATATAAATCATGTCCCTCAGATACCAGTATGCAATTTGTCCTCTATCGAAATATTGGCGATTGATCTAATCTCTGAAGAGGGGACAACATATTCTTTTTATAGTTATGGGTGAGCAGTTTTACGCCGCTTTTAGCAATATTCCAGCAATATGACGTCGGGAGACACCAGAAATGGGCTTCATACATTGCACCCACGTGGGGAATTGAACCTTGATTTCGGCGTGACGATTAAACGCTTTAACCACTAGGCTACCCCACCATCCTAATAGTTTGAGTGGCAGACATCAATCTTCACTGTTAGTGTCAGCGCTACATCGCCAACAGCAAGTAGCACCGAAACACCCTTTGAAATCTGTTATTTATGTAATTGATGTAAAAATATCCACAATCTCCGTCAACACTCTACACAAAACAGCAGAGTTTAATATACACTCTTCAAAATAAGAAACGACTGGTATATTTTTAGTAAATGCATTGTACCCAATAACGTCTCTATATTAAATCCAATATGATAGATACAAATATGACATTTTGGAGCTTGATAGTCACATGTTGTCGTGTACACAGGCATTGAAAACTGTTCATTGTCATGTCACATAAGGCCACAAGGTAGCGCTGAATTCAGTATCTCGTGTGACCGCCCCGGGCAGCAATCACGGCTCTGCATCTCCTCGGCACTGACTGGATAAGTATACGAATTCCGTCCTGCGGAATTCTGCGCCATTCTGCTTGAATCGCGTTGGCCAGTTGTGGGAGTGTCTACAACGTGTTCTGACGTTGACGTACACGTTGATCGAGTTCATACAAGAGGTGTTCGATTGGGTCGAGATCTGGAGATGTCGACGGCCAGTGCAAATCGTTGATTTTGGCATTATGATGGTAGTCTACCGTGACACGAGCTGAATGCGATGGAGCGTTGTCCTGTTGAAACAGCTCCCTCTGGCTGACAATGATTGGAAGAAGGTGAGGTTGAAGACGTAGCGATTAGCTCTCAAATTTCCCTGAAACACAACCAAGTCAGATGTCGTGGTGTAGGATATGTCCTCCCACGCCATGACACTACTGCCACCGAATTTGTCGAATTCATCTCGCCGGTGAAGAAGAAATTGTGATTCATCGCTAAACCACACTCTCCAGTCTCCATTTTCTCAAATTGCAAGACTGTAAGGTATGACACCAACGCAAACGCCGCTGTCGATCGATCTGTTGCAAAACAGGGACGATAACTTGTCTTCTGGGTCGGATTCCAGCCTCGCGGAGATGGTTCCTGACAGTCTGGTCCGATATCTTCCTCAAACCAGGGATGCGTCCTGCAGTCTACGTAGCTGTGGCATTGCGATGACGTAGGTGGAACAGTCGAATGAAGCGATCCTGTGTAGGGGTGGTATCTCTTGGTCGGCCGGTTCTCGGACGGTCTGCAGTGGATCGGCAGCGCTGAGTCTCGGCATTTTCGTACTTGCCACTACCACGAGTTACGAATGCCATAACTTGCACGTGCATTTTGCTTTACTGTTTTCCTCCATGACATTTTTTTTAAACAAGTGTGAAAACAATGCCGTTTAAGACATTGCAAATCGACAATGGCTGCGTTTTGACGCACCGTTTGTCGAATATCAGGCCACCAACATTTTCCATAAACATATATCCAATTTATATACCGGATTTTTGTGCAGTCAGGTTCAATGAACTACATACAACCTGTGCGTTTCCTTTTTTGAAGAGTGTAAATATGGGATAAGGAGTGTGAGGACATTTGGTCATTTGAGTCAATCACGTTAGGCTGACATCTCACATTCACCTGTCATCATCGTCATCATCATCATCGTCGTCGTCGTCGTCGTAATAATAATAATAATAATAATAATAATAATAATAAAAATAATCCAGTGCTGTACTCTCCAAGCGCTTAGACCATAACTGAAAAAAAACTTTGTCAAACGGTGCTGAACCACTGATAAACTAATTGGGGATTCGAACCGACAATCATAGGGTTGTTGCACGGAAATGCGACGCCCTATACGATTTTGTCATCCGTTTTCGAATCAGACAGTCCGGAATCGGCTATTACATAACACATTGCCGAGACACTCCCTCGATTGCGATCACTTCCCTAACACAATGCTCAACCACGTACTGAAAATGTGCAGTGCATCGACTGCAGTTTTCTCATTTCGCTAACTCGGACGACATCACATGGAACCTATAAATGTTTGTCGGTGATCTCACTTTTGAATGTGCACCATTTGGAATTCCCTGCTTTTGATTACATGGAGGTGACATGTCAAGCAGCTGCAGTGTGTGAAGATAGCAAATGATATTATTCAACCGAACTGCTATCACCAAAAACTATATCACTACGGTCTTGGTACTATCGTTTGTTTGTTTTGTTTTGACCAACCATTTTCCAAACACAGACCCTGACGGACTAGCTAGCCGCCCGGCTAATACGGGCCTTGACAGACCAACCATTGTCCAAACACATGCCTTGACGCACTAGCTAACCGCCCGGGTAATACAGGCCTTGACAGACCAACCATTGTCCAAATGCATGCGTTGACGGACTAGCTAGCCGCCCGGCTAATACGGGCCTTGGCAGACTAACCATTCTCCAAATACATGCCTTGACGGACTAGCCAACCGTACGGCAAACACAGGCCTTGACAGACCAACCATAACATGGACCGTTGGCCGAATAAAGGTCTGTGACAATCAAGCCAATGAACTAAGCAAACGAACCTTAAGTGAAAAGCAACTGAAATGTTAATTTGAATAGGAACCTTACCTCCAACATATACCTATTTTCTGGGATATCGACAAAGATCACAGTCCCGGATTTAGCGTTGTTTTTAGCCAGGTGGGAAATCTGAAAAAAAAACTGGCGAATATACATCCTTTTGAGAGACGTTTTTCGTATCGAGACAATGTCAGTTAGCATGACAACAGAAACTTGATGTCAGTCACAATACGTAGCAATTCCACCAGTTCAACATATAATACTATTTTGTTATGAGCAACAGTATAGGCATGTGGACATGATAATCTACGTCATAAGAAAATGACGTCACTTAGGCGTACAGTGACGTCATCAATAATGGGTATTCTGATTAACGTCAGACGGGACAACCGAGAGAGCAATGTCGGGAAAACTAAGACAAATGTGGAGGTTTTCCTCCTGCATCACTTCGGACTTTCCTTTAACATTAAACTGACTTGATATGATACCAGGAGCGGTGGGGTAGCCTTGTGGTTAAAGCGTTCGCTCGTCACGCCGGACCCTGGTTCGATGCCCGACATGGGTACAATGTGAAGCCCATTTGTGTTGCCCTGTCGTGATATTGATGGAATATTGCTCACTCACTCACTCAATCATACGATACTGATCAAAGCAGCGTAAAATCAAACTCAACCATTCATTTTGTGTATTTCGAGACGCTTACAGATAAAAGGGTTAACAATTTAATGATGTTCAGTGGTCTACGGCGCCGAACTTCGCTGTGCTGATTTCCGGCCCTCAGCTGTGGCAGGATCCGCTGATCGTTCGAATCCTAGTTCCGCTCCAATAATGATCCTTGATTTGTCTTACCAGTGAGTTTCACGCTACTATCTCTTTCCTCCAACAATTACTGACATATTTACCGATATAACTGTAATATTAGTCAGTTCTAAAACCCCATTCCTCACTCACTCACTCACTAACCCACCATTAACTCATTCACCCACTCACCAAACCAGTCACCGGCTTACTCATTCCCCTAGTCACCACCACACCCACACTACTCTCTCACTCACTCACTCACTTACACACTCGCTCACTCAAAGCCATGATAGCAATGCCTACCGTATTGCATGATGACGGTGTTTTAGTGTGTAATTTACACTCTTTGAATGGATGTTGAAGCCCCGCCATTTTATACAGTGACACTAGGTATTCGTCAAACTTGAATTCGGTCGGGGCGAGACTAAAAGTCACCGTGAGGTTATAGTGATGATGAGAGTTTCTGGACAAACGGTAGGTTATCAGGGGACTCCAATCGGCGGCTGCACCGTGTCTGTGAACAGATTGAAAGACATAAGAACAATGAACCACAGAACCAACAAAGCTCTGTACTTGGTCAGAACCATATGAATGATGTTTATTCTCGTAAATCACGACAGTGATACAGAGATGTAATTGGATACAGGAATTAGATACAATGAAGAAAACATGTCAGTGGAACATTTCCATACATGATCTTATATAACTTGCCAGTTTTAATAGAATTGGCTTATAAGTAATGGACATCAAATGAGAGAATTTTACGGCAGAAGGATACATACAGTAGTATTGAGTCAAAAACTTGTTTCTAATTTCTGAGAGTTTTGGACATTCTAATAAAAAGTGCATTTCATCACATATAAAATTTTTACACAGTGTACATTTTCTTTCCTCTCTCACAATATTATACCATCTTCCTGTTTCAATGGGTAATCTATGATTTGCTGTTCTAAAACGAGCAAGAGAGATGCGTAAGGTGATTGGATAAAAGGTAAACATGCATCATCAGTATTACAGACACATTAAGATAACGCAACAAGCATTCTCAATGTGTTTACATGCATTAAGAGGGGCAAAAAAAAAGGTGATAAAATATTTTAAATCTAAAAAAAGCAAATGTAATACATTGTATTCATCAAACCATACACTGAATATCACGTCTTGCAACCATACATGCAGAAATTACAGAAAAGAGGTCCAAAATAGCACAGTAACTCGACAGTAATGCTCAAAATCGGATTTGAGTCATAATGTTTTAACATGATCGTTCGCATGCCAAAGCCAATAAAATAGTGCAAGGTATGCAGTACAAGGACGGGTTTACCATCTCCGCTTTGTCATCATTCTCACCTTTCTGAAACAAAGTGAAACAGGAACGTCAACTGTTAATGCAAAGAGACTTGTACCGCCGCCATCAAATACCATGCAGCCACAATAGACATGACTATGATACAATTCACACACTCCATGGTAAACTGATGCATATGCAATGTTAATTTTCACAAAGAATCGTTCTTAAACCTGTGGCATTCACTGATCTCCTGTTCATTCAACGTCGGATCAGCAATATTTCAAGACTCACGTACACAGTGTCCCCTCATTCCAGGAGTTAAATTCCAAGACAGTCAGTTTTCATCAATCTTTTTTTTAACAAGAAGGTTAAATGTTTACTAATTCCTAAACAGGGTTTAGCTATTTTCTCTCTCCAATACGGAATTATCGATATACATTTTTGCTGAAGTATCGCGATCGTTCCGCGGCATTTCCGCGATTCTACAGCGATAGTACCGCGGAATCAGCTACATATCCTGCGACACATTACCTAACCTGTGAAGATACGGGTTAGAATTGGTCTTAACACATGCATGTCGTAAGAGGACGACTCACGGGATCGGGTTGTCAAACTCGCTGACTTGGTTGATGCATGTCATCGTATCCCAATTGCGGGGTTTAACAACGAACACATTACCTTGCACTTCCGGTAGGGCGAAATGGAGGCTCTGACAATGGGCCTCACGGGGCAGCGAACATATCGTTGCCTGATACTGAATGTCTGGCCCTGCCCCCAATCTGGGAAATGTTTCAGAGAATTCCAGCTGAAACAAAATGGTATCTTCTTTAAAGTAATGCTCAATCAATGATAGTCGTTGCTGTACATTTAGTTTCGATTGATACGTGCATATTTCTCTCTCTCTCTCTCTCTCTCTCTCTCTCTCTCTCTCTCTCTCTCTCTCTCTCTCTCTCTTAAAATGTGTGACCTGGTTCATTGTGTGGCGATGGCGACTATCCACGATTACATGCAATTTGTTATGTACACACCTGTCAAAGACTCGATAATTTACAAGACGTCGTGATATAGCCGGGGTACTATTACCTGCGGTGTAAAACAACAATCACTTCATTAGTTTAATCATTCGTTTACAAATAGTTCACCTTGAACTTACATTGTTATCATTACCCTGAAATTTTGTTCTTGAGAGATCAAATATCCGGCACATAGTCTCTGAATATTCAGCTGATCCAAGTATTTTCCTTATCTTCAGTTGGAACCCTTTCAGATGCACTGCGTCTACTCCTGCAATGATCATCATCAGTATCATTGATGTTAACATTATCACAATACTTACCGTTACTATTACTATCAATGTGATATTATTTTGCAATTAATAGTAGCTTTGGGCGGTCGGGTGGCCTATTGGTTAAAGCGTTCGCTCGTCACGCCGAAGACCCTGGTTCGATTCCCGACATGGGTACAATGTGTGAAGCCCATTTCTGGTGTCTCCCGCCGTGATATTGCTGGAATATTGCTAAAAGCGGCGTAAAACCAAACTCATTCACTAATAGTAGGTTTAATCTTCGACTTGGTGCACAAGGGCACTCGACTGAAGACATTCTACGTGGGGTTCCAGTGCAGAATAGTTCCAGTCATATGATCAAAAGCTTTATGTACACTATTCGCAAAATACATTTGGTAATTAGAAAAGGATATTTAAAAAAAGGGGCAAGCTATCTGATTTACAACTCGATATTATCGATAGCTCAAAGGGAAATGACATGTACCGAATTCGAAGATGGACCAAAAGAATTGTTCTGGTTGCGTCAGATACACAGGGCACACCCCGACATATTTATGAGCTATTCCCCAGGGGAGTATTACAGAGTAATACTGAGGGGCAAAAGAAAGTATACCGAGTTTATATGAAAGTGAAAATTGAAAGAACGGTGGTTAAATTATATTATATCTATTTAATCATCTCTCATTCCATCAACCCATCAGTAGTGTGTGTCATGCGAATAAAGGCTATGTTTTATTTCTAACAGTTTACATCAAATTATATTAAAACAATGAAACCATGTAGAGTATTCATTGAGTACTTACTGAGCGCCTTTACAATTCATGTTTGTATATATTATCACTAACACCAATATATTTAATTGAAATTCAAATAACATCAACTGAAGGGTATAGCTTCTTTTGCCCCTCAGTTTATATCTAGTGAATGAGTGAGTTGGTTTTAACGCCGCTTTTAACAGTATTCCAGTTATATCACGGCGTGTCAGCTTAATGTGGGAGGAAAGCCGGAAGTGATGCAGGTCTCAGACGTTTACCACTTCGGTGAAACCCACGGGCACGGGTATGGTGCTGACAAACCTAGAAACATAATTGGGGCGAACCGGGATTCGAACCCACAATCATAGGTTTCTGGTGTGCCCAAGGGACGCAACTCTGCACAGCGAATCGCGGCGCCTTAGACGACTGGGCCACCCGTGCCCCCAGTTTATATCTAGTCATAGTGTAGTACATGGGTGCTGGGAAGTGATGCAACCACACTCCTATCCAGACCGCCTCCGTGGTCTAATGGTAGAGCGTCCGCCCGGAGAGCGGAAGGTCCGGGGTTCGATCCATAGTCGCGTCATACCAAAAGACGTTAAAAGATGGTACTTGTTGTTACCCTGTCTGGCGCTCGGCATTAAGGGGCTAAAACAAGGACTTGTCGGCTCGGAGTCAGTATACTGTGTCTGAGTGGGGTATCCGTGTTAAACTGCGGCATGGTATCTCAGTGTGCTAGCACTATAAATCGGCATCAGTCCGGACTAGTACAAGCAGCCACACACACACACGTGCATGCACGTCGCTATATAAGGGCAATAATCTTCGACGCGACGTTAAACCCCATTTCACCTCACCTCATACTCCTATCCACTGACATTCGATGTATAAATAATAAAAAAGTTTCATTAACCAGTTGTTGAAGCTTGCAACATCTTTAATATATTTTATTCGTTATATCTAAACAGTTTACAACCATATGAAAACGTCAGACAGTGTATTTATTCAAGAGATAGTTCTGGCAATGTATATCTGAAATCACTCTTAGAACGGATACATTTCCTACCTGAAGAAGATGGTTTCCATTTGAAAACTGCCACTGGAACATATCCTTCAGTTTTGTTCACCGCTATGGGCTCGACACGGAAGTCCCTTGGCCTCCCTATCGAATTCCCACCAAACACACCAGGAAGTGGTCCGCAGTCTATAACAAGTGTGTAATATACTTTAAGAACAAACCTTATTGCTATGCAGGTACGAGGATCAACACTTTTACATTAACAGAAAAATTGCATCAGTACCAAGAATGGTGTTTACTTTTATTGTAATCAACATACTCAGCTTGACAGTCCCCCCCCCCCCCCCCCCCCCAAGGGGCATATGGTTTGGGGGGGGGGGGGGGGGGGGGGGGGTCCTGTTACGCGACTCACGGGGAATACATTTAAATTCAGAGAGTTGTGTTAAAATGGTGTTTGGAGATTACCTTACAATTAGGTGATATTAATGTTAAAGTTAGTGTTATCGGAATGTTATCCAAGAGTGAGTGAGTGAGTGAGTGAGTGAGTGAGTGAGTGAGACCGTACGTGCGCACGTGTGTTCGTGAGTGAATGAGTTTGGTTTAAGGCCGCTTTTAGCAATATTCCAGTAACATCGCGGCAGCGGGCACCAAAAATGGGATTCACGCATTGTACCCATGTTGGGAATCGAAGTCTGGCGTTAACCACTTGGCTACCCCACAACTCGGATACCCTTTACATCATTTCCCGAACGCTGAACCCGTGTTTCATTCTCAAGGTTGCAAACATGCGTCACATCCAAGAGTTAACCCGTTAGTGATATTCTTGAGCGTTATCCCTAGAACTATCTATGAGTGTTATCCCAAATATATGTGGACAAATTAAGTCGGGACTTACCCTCTGATTTGAGAACGTTACAGGTAATCTTGGTTTTCTGGAAAGAAAAAAAAATCACATTTAATCCTTTACGCAAGAACATTTACGACATGCTCTCATCAGTCTTACTTTAATAATTAATCTAGTGTACATAATCACCGTACTTTCTATTTGTGAGTGCGGTTTTGACTTGCCTTTGCATGTGTTTTTGACGGATGCCACCGGTGGAGCAGGATGCGCTCATCTTTTCGCGAACACCTGGTTAAATCACCATTTAATGGTGATTCATAAACACATGCTTATGATATAGTCGGAATCGTACAATGGAATCTTATACATTGAGACTTCTTTCGAAATTTTTTCATGGAAATGGTTTATATCACTTTTATTTATAAAAAAGACAACTCCTCTGAATGCCACCAGCATCACATTAGGAGTACATAGCTACATACCTAACACAACAATCACAACATGCCTTGTCTCTATGTCACGGAAATGTGTTATCGTTTTCATCGGTTCTAAGGAGAAACATTGTGTTGTTTCCTCTGATAAAGATACGTTTGAGGCGAAACCAGCCTGCACGCCCCTAGCCAGGAATATGACCGACGAAATTAGATCAACACGCCCATAAATATACAGTATACTACGGTTATAACGAACTCAAAAGGGACCACTAATTTTAGTTCGTTATAACCGTAGTTCGTTATAAGCATATATACAGCATAACTACAGCAAATAGTCGGGACCAAAAAGTAAGTTCGTTATATCCGTCAGTTCGTTATAAGCGTGTTCGTTATAACCGTAGTTTACTGTAACTCATAACATATATAACACTGTAAGGAAAATGAATGACTTTATTGAATCAATATCCTTTGAGTTACTTTGATAATGCAGTAAAATTTGTTTGGGACATTCGGTCCACAACAATTTTTTTGTCTCTATTTTTCGGTTTGGATCAGCCAGATCATACATCGTGACCATCCAATCCCCAAAGTAGTCTGCTCTTACGACAAGTATTATGTACCGGGGACCACGTCTGACCACATTCGATGGTACTTGTATGCACAGTGAATATATTTTTTCTTTGAATGCATTTTCTTCACTATGCCTTATGAATGCAAATATATGAAACGTGCATTGCATTGATTTTGATCAAACCACCTTATTGTCATGGATTTCATGAAAGTAGAATTATCTTTATGTTGACAGTATATCAATCCCGAGAAGATTCGGTTTAGAATTGGTCTTCAGCAATCCATGCTTGTCGTAAGAAGCAACTGACGGGATCGGGTGGCATGTGATCGTATCCCAATTGCGTAAATCGCTGCTTATGATGCCAATCACTTGATTTTATGCCCGGACTCGATTAATTAAAGACCACCGTCACATATCTGAAATACTGATGACTGCGGCGTTAATCGACAAACAAATAAACACAACAGTCTATGAAGAGACAGATGCAGTTATGTACTGCCCGCTGACAATATAGCCTCATTGTATGGATATAAATAGTTGGTTTAATGTATATGTGATTACATCCCGTAAACTATAAGATGTAAATAAGGATGTTGTAAATGCTCACTGTTATGCCGAAGACTTCCAATCTCTCTCCAGTTGTACTTGCGTCATCAGAACAATTTCCTGTGATTGGTATGTGTTCCAAACACACTGAGACCCGGAGTAATGCCAAAAGTACAAAACACACAGTATCCATTTCAAAGGATGGTCAACTAGAACAGACACTCGGTTCTCGGTAAGCCACGGAGTGGCCTACGTAGAAGGGTGTTTTATCATCGAAAGAAATCCGGTTCAAGTATCCGGGGCTGGCAGGGGTTGATAGGCGACGCTTTTGTAACAATAGTGTGTGAGGATTAAATGACGCAAACAGCTTTGTGTTTGTTTGTTTGTTTGCGATCGATCTTTGTTTCTCAAAACCATCAACGGTAGTTTATACATCATACAATGTACATATGATTTGGATGGTTTTTTATTTAACACCGCACTCAGCAATATTCTAGCTATATGACGGCGGTCTGTAAATAACCGAGTCTGGACCAGACAATTCAGTGATTGATATCATGAGCATCGATCCATGTAAATGGGATATGATGATATGTATCAACCAAGACAGCGAGCCTGACCACCCGATCCCGTTAGTCGCCTCTTACGACAAGCATAGTCGCCTTTTAGGGGAGGCATGGGTTGCTGAAAACCTATTCTACCCCGGATCTTCACGGGATGACGCAAACAGCATTTCAGCTATATCATGGCATGCTAGTTTGATGTAGGACAGCCAAACTCGGTGAGGTGCCATAAACGTTTAACACTTTGATGAAACCCGGCGGTGACCAAGGAACATAATCAGTTGAAATCTTGATTAGCGGATCCTGGTCGCCATCTGTGCTCAGACTTTTTCAATATTAGTGTTATCATATTTTTGGTGGAAAGCATATTATTTGAAAAAAAACATTCCGATTTAGACCTTAAATTAGAATATGCATGGTTCGTTGGACATGGCCTGAGAAAGTGACAAAAACATTCTGTACGCAACAGTCAAAACAAGACTCATGAATGGTCGACAGACAATGTCTGACCTATGGTGTAGTAACACTGAACTGGGAGATTCTGACGACAAATCAACACATTGAGAACGCCAAGTGTTCGGGTCTTGATTGGGAAAGCCCTTCAGTCATGTCCTGTTGAACACATGTGAATCCGGAGATACCAGTACGCCACAGGCACACCCGTGCAGTTACTCTGAAGGTACAGACGTTTAATCCTAGGTCCCCACTGCCTTGGTGAAACATATTTAACGTGGGTTTCGTTTGGCTTGAAACTTACAATGAAATGTCATTCATCATAAGGAAATGTACGTTCACGGAACAGGACAACGCTTGATAACAACGCCCAGGGCGGGAACCTCGGAATATGAGATGCACAGAAATTCCATAATGTCTTGAAGACGCAATACATATTTTTCATTGAAATAAGTGTTGACATTGTAACATGTTTGGTACTTTAGTATATTGGCTTTGTATAGAGGAATTTGATATAATGGTGAGTGGGTGAGTGTGGTTTAACGCCGCTTTTAACACTATTCCAGTAAAATCACGGTGTGTCAGCTTAATGTGGGAGCAAGGTCCCAAGTGATGCATGTCACTTTGGTGAAACCAACGAGCACGGGTATGGTGTGGACAAACCTAGAAACACAATCGGGGTGAACCGGGATTCGAACCACAGTCATAGGTTTATGTTGTGCTCAAGAGAAGGAGCCCTGCACGGCGAATTGCGACGCCTGAGACGACGTGGAAACCCGTGCCCCATTTGATGTAATAGCTTTTTGAAATGTAATAGAACTCATACCCTACATTGTACAGGTTACAACCATTGAAAACTCTCCAATTCTGTACATTTATCATGTGATATATAGGTGATCATTCGCAGCAGTGAAAAACGTGAGTCAAACGTCATTCGCAAATGTATCGTGTTTACGTTACGCTGAAAATGTAAGATGAGACGTGTTGTGGTCACCGTAGACAAAAGACACTGTAATGAAAGAGGGATATCTAACCTTCTAACTATCAAAAGGTCAAAAACAATTAGGAGCAGAAAGATATCACCAGTTTGAGTTTCCAAGTGGTGAACCACATTTGAATACTCAGAAACGGGCCAGTACCGTCTTGTCACGATTACAGAGGACCCGTGAAGATCCGGGGTAGAATAGGTCTTCACCAACCCATGCTTGCCGTAACAGGCGCCTAACGGGACCGGGTGGTCAGGCTCGCTGACTTGGTTAATGCATGTCATCGTATCCCAATTGCGTAGATCGATGCTCATTATGTCAATTACTGGATTGTCTGGTCCATACTAGATTATTTACAGACCGACGTCATATAGCTGGAATATTGCTGGGTGAGGCGTAAAACAACAAACAAACAAACAATTGTGCTGCAAATACTAATGTAGGGAGAAATGTGAGGTTATGTGAGGAAATGCAATATTCAGCACTGCAAGTCAGAGACAATCGACATGAATTATCTCCCTTAGCTTGTAAAATGCCGAGAAAGGGGTTACACTATTTGAATATCTGCTTGACCTTCAAAATCATACTTGATAATCTGACATGAAGCTGTTGTTGGACATGAATTCAATTGTGGTGTAAATACTAATGCATATAAAGAATGGCGAGAGAATATGAAATATCCAGCACTGCAGACCCATCAATTATACCGACATGGGTTCAATGGGGCGTGTTGCTCAATTATCTTCCCCATAGGGGGTGCGCGTGCTCCGACGGTCCTACAGTCGGCACTTCCGGTTTATGGTCACTCAGCCGAGTCTGAAGGCGGTGACCCCATTGTTCCAATTAAACATGCCTCAGTATTGTTGTGTACCTGGCTGCAATTCAAGAACTTGAGGACACATTTTCCCCCGAGACCCAGATGACAGGATGAAATGGAGGATCGCGATTAAACGCATCGACGAAGTGTCAAAGAAAGTGTGGGAGCCGGGAAAGTATGACATCGTTTGTCGGAAGCATTTTCGGACGGAGGACTATGTAGAGCACTCAACATTGCTAGGTGTGTATGATTATTCTGTCGTTTCTGTGTAATTTTAAGAAATAGTTTTTGCTGCTTGCCAAGATGATTTTCATAATAGATGTAATAGGTAAAAACGAATGACATTTGCTTTTTTAAAATGGAAAGCCTTAGCCCGTATCCCCCCTCCAAAGTTATAGGGGCCTATATGCAGCTGATATGTATGCGTTTCCGCTCAATCATTTGCAGGGATGTGAAATCTCCGCGGAAAATCCTCGGAAAAATCATCTTCCCCGTAAAAAATATATTCAAAGATTTAAAAACAATACTCCAAAAAATATTATCGTGTTTCCGGACAACCGTCGCGGATTGTCCTGTTTTCGATCAGAGCTTTCAGCATCATATATGCCTTTATTATGCCACGGGGATAGGGCGTATATGTTGTATTAATATTGTATTAATGGCTTGTGTATTTTGTATTGCAACCTTGTTTATTTCTTTTCAACAAAAGGTAAGTACAAGGTAAGTCAATATGCTTCAACATTGGGAAAAGGTCAGACATTGCACGCTTGCGACAGTTGTCCTTGTGTTTGTGGGATGGGGGGTAAAGTTTATGGCAGTTTTGCTCCCAGACCCGGCGGGTAGCCGGGTGCGCGGAAGCTGTACCCTATTTTTTAAAAGTATTGATTTAACTTCAAAATTCTACTGAATCTGCCATCTTTATTTGACATTTCTTGGTGTGAATGTTGTCCAAACTGCACGAAATTGCTTAAAATGTATAAAATACAATAACATGACCCCAGACCTCCCTAGACTTTCCTCTTTTAGGGGGAACACCGACTCACATCCATGCATTTTAATTATATTTTTTTTAAGGGGGCAGGAGTCTTACCCTTTCATTGTTTTGTCATGAAACGATATATCACATGACTAACCATGGGGCTCTACTCAGCACTCACCCGACCCGTGAACCTGAGTTACCTATCCCAGCCCTTGTTTTCTCACAAAATGGCAAAAAGGAAAGAACATGAAGAAAATTATAAAAAATTATATATTAAAAATATTTAATTTTTATTTTGGTTGTTAGGCTAGCTAATCATGTTAGATCTATCAGAAATCCTTTTTTAGATTCTTTAAATTTTAACAAGCATGGCTGTATCATTGATGTATCATTGGAAGCCCCCTTGGTTTTTTGCCCTCTCCCCAGGGCATGCTCTGTCTACCAAAACCTCGTGAGCGTGTTTTCTCCAGTACATAACGAGGGTTGTGGTGTCAACAGACAATGTAAATACTCAGATGATGGCTTGATATTTAGATAAAGCTGTCTTTGATAAGTGAATGAGATGTTTTACGGTTCTTGTGATTAGCGTCCGAAAACTTATAACACGGGGATATATCTATTAACACTCTAAAACCATTACGTTCAACACAGATGTAGGTGGACATTCGACTGAAGCACGAGCAACTTATCAATGACTTATGATCTGGAAAGTAGTCTGTCATAATCTGACCTCAGGTCATCACCATGGCGTAGCCAATCACTGGCCTGGAATTTGATCTAACGCATATGTTTTATACCAGTTATCTCAAATGGGTTTCTCACCCACAGGTGTGTAAGGGAGTTATTTCTGTCCAGCTAACTTTTACCAAACGCTGAACGGACCCGTGAAGATCCGGGTAGAATAGGTCTTCATCAACCCATGCTTGCCGTAAAAGGCGACAATGTTTGTTGTAAGAGGCGACTAACGGGATCGGGTGGTCAGGCTCGCTGAGTTGGTTCATGCACGTCATCGTATCCCAATTGCGTTGATCGATGCTCATGATGTCAATCACTGGATTATCTGTGAAGACTCGATTACTTACAGACCGCCGTCATAAAGCTGGGATATTGCTGAGTGTGGTGTCCAACAACAAATAAACACATTTTTTGTTGGGGTAATCTTCGTAATAAATGACCGAGAGATAGAAGACAAGCATGCGATGATTTCAGTGTATATCTGGGTTACCTGTAGATTTAACCGCGCAAGGCAACAGCTGGAATATTGAGGCGTTAAACAACATGAAACAAACACACAAACGCTGGACGCCCAAAACCTCGCTTTCATGACAAAAGCCGCGTACCTTCCCTTCACCCCTCTCTGTACAATGAACTCTTCCAAATGCATGAACTGCACGTGCACAGGTGTCAGTATTGTGTGGCGCTGTTCACATGCTGGGAGCTTTGTGATTGATCTCAAAATGATCAGTCGGAAAAGACAAGTGTTGTACATTTTGTTCTTCATCTCTGCAGTGTCCATTTTCTATAACAGCAACCACGTCTTCCGTAAGTATAACGCATCTTGTCTTTTGACAATGGAAGCAGATGTGACGTATGTTAAATATCTCGACATGACGTTGTGACGAGAGGAGACTCTCGTGATATCAGAATGTTCAAGTGCATTCGCCTATAACTGGTCTTTTTCTGTGTCTCTTTATATAGACGATTTATCTTTTCATTACACTGGAAAATGGGTGCATAAACATTCCTGGAACAGATCGCTACTCCGATAAAGCTTCGAGTCGTGTCGGTACCATACCCGTCCTCGTGGCTTTTTGTGGTGCATAAAATACTCTTCTTGAAAACCTTGAGAGTCGTGTGCAGGTATTTGTACAGCCGTTGAATCTGTTTTTTTACGCCGCTCTCAACAGTATTCACATCAATGATAGTATATGTAGATATATTTATATCACATGGAAAGTAATTGGATACAAGCTAACGTGTATTCATATTTTCAGAGATCACACCTTCACCTATCCTGTTCTAAACCCTTGAAGATCCGGGGTAAAATCGGTCTTCAGCAACCACCCACGCTTCTCGTAAGAGGCGACTGACTGGATCGGGTGGTCAGGCTCGCTGACTTGATTCATGCATGTCATCACATCCCATTTGCGTGGATTGATGCCCATTATGTCAATCAATGGATTGGCTGGTCCAGACTCGAATATTTACAGACCGCCTTCATGTAACCGGAATATTGCCGTGTGCTGCGTTAAACAGCAAACATCAATATTCTGTACTATGGATCTGAGATATTTGGAACCACTTATTGCAAACAAACCAAAGCATAAATCTCCCCACGAACATGTTAAATGATTAAAACTCTCCATAACGGTAAAAATACATGGTTAACTCATATCAAATTTATTTTATTTGAACCATCTTCAAATATTTTATGACGGCTTCTTTCAATATTGTCATCGTTCCCTCGACGCTTCATCTAAATGCAATAACTATTCTCAGTTTAAAATCTTCCAAAGTATGGAAACATTTTTAAAACTTTTCTTTTAAAACGGAAACTAATAACCATGTTTCGGTGTAATAACTTCAGACTTGCGATTGAATGTGGCCGCGGTACAGAGACAATATAACAAACGTTGCTGTTTATTCTGCCATGCTAGAGACCTTTATTGTGTGGAAGATAAACTATGTCAATGACCTCCTCAGACCATTCCCCGTACAACGTGGCCCCGTACTCTCTAGTGAAGTCCCTCCACCTGACGCTGGAGCTGCCCCGAAACACGACGTCCAGGAGAGTCATCGTTCAGAGCTACATAAAACATCTACAGTCACAACTTGCTCGGAGGGTTCACCAACAGTATCAGGTAGCTTAGTACTGTTTTCTGTTTTGTTTCTCTCTGAAAAATCGGAAAGGGCACCCACAGCGATTCACGAACAGTATCTATATGTCAAGTCATTCGTGATGATCGGAGACCCGTGAGGATTCCGGGGTAGAATAGGTCTTCAGCAACCCATGCTTGCCGTAAAAGGTGACTATGCTTGTCATAAAAGGCGACTATGCTTGTCATAAAAGGCGACTAACGGATCGGGAGGTCAGACTTGCTGACTTGGTTGATGCATGTCATCGATCCCAATTGCGTGTATCGATGGTCATGATGTCAATGAATGGATTGTCTGGTCCAGACTCGATTATTTACAGACCGCCGGAATAGCTGGAATATTGCCGAGTGCGGCGTTAAACAACAAACCAACCACCGTCATGATCGGGTAGGGTTCGTTAGATGAAGTCTCCTCAAATCGCGCTCGCTGAAAGCCTTGCATTGAGTCCTTTAAGGCTCACACGACAAACTAGTGTTTGCCCATTTATGTTTGCAAACATAAGTCCGTGCGTGTGAAAGTTGCGAAAAACAGTTAGCAAACTAGTTTGATCAGCTTGACAAACTGTTTGCGAGAAATAGAATCGGTCTACATTCTCAGCAATATATTGGCCCACATTTTAATTTTTTTCAAACTCGATTTAAAGGTCTCACTTAATCCTGACATGAAGGGACAATGAGTCATCCAAAGGTTGTCATTTGGACTTAGTTTACAGAAATGTTAACTTGGAGTACGTGTCAATCTAATCAATATGTCAACCAGTGAAGCAAAAAAACATTTAAGGGCAATTTGCAGTTTGTATATCCAGCGAGCGAGCAATTAAGTTGGAGCATCGTATTCCTGGGCCAAGTTCCACAAAGTGATCTTAGCGGTCGTAACTCCAGGGCCCACTTGCACAAAACGATCTTAGCGCTAAGACTATTGTAAGCCTATGTTAAAGTATGGGAGTTAAGATCATCTTAGCGCTAAGATCGCTTTGTGCAAGTGGACCCAGTTCTTTAACACTGACTTACGACAGTCGTATGCTAAGATCGCTTTGTGGAACGGGTCGAGGACTATATGCCTTTCTCTTTTACAAATGTTGAGTATATCATTGGAGCATAAGTAATACTGTACAGCATGATAAACCGACCATAAACATCGGAAACAGCGACTGCATAAAGCTAACATGTGAATATCATAATATAGTCGTCTATGTGTGTGTTTGTGTTTAAACGCCGCAAAATCCCTGCTAGTTGACAGTGGTCTGTCAATAATCGAGTCTGAACAAGACAATCTAGTAATTGGTACATCGAACATGCAGACTCCGGTGTGGTGTAATAGGGCTAGCCCATTTACATACCACGTCGCAGTTTTACATGGGAGTCGTGAAGATCCGGGTAGAGAACCGGTCGTCAACAACCCATGCTTGCCGTAAGAGGCGATTATACTTGCCGTAAGAGGCGATTATACTTGCCGTGAGAGGCGATTATACCTGCCGTAAGAGGCGACTAACGCGATCGGGTGGCCAGATGAGCTGACTTGGTTGATTTATGTCATCGTATTCCAATTGTGTAGATCGATGCCACTGATGTAAATTATTGGATGGTCTGGTCCAGACTCGATTATTTACAGACTGCTGGAAGGTGGAGTATTGCTGAGTGCGGCTCTGTTCGATGACATAATGCCACCCTCACTCGTCTCTAGTCGTTAGTTCCTTACAATTGCTCACTCGCTGTGGGTAGAACAGTGGTAAAAACGCTCGGTCTAGACGACGCAAAATCTCACAATTTCACTCACTCGCGCTCATGTGCATCTAACTGTAAACCCTGACTAAGGACAGAGACCCCTGGGCGGATCTGTGTTTATTAACGTGATGAAGTTTGGATTTTACGAAGTCTTCAAAACATTTCCATAATCACATCAAGGGTAGGTATTTGTTGAACATTTCACAATTTGATTATTACATGATAGTCACATGCTGGATATATGGACACTATATGATATTCATACGTACAAATCGGTCTTATCATTCATACGCCATGTATTCATCTAATATCTAATTCAACACACTTTGGTCGATTGTGTGTCATCGGGTCCCAAACGGCTCAGACTGTCAAGAGGGGCGGTCGGGTAGCCTTGTGGTTAAAGCGTTCGCTCGTCACGCTGAAGACATGGGTTCGATTCCCGACATGGGTACAATGTGTAAAGCCTATTTCTGGTGTCCCCCGCCGTGATATTGCGGGAATATTGGTAAAAGCGGCGTAAACCCATACTCACTCATCCATACTATCAAGCAAAGGGTGTTTGGCCCAAAGACATTTGTTAACTTGCGCAGTGACATACCTGAGTGTACATCATTCATTCAATGGCTCATCACGAAAGACCACGCTTTTCATATTTGTCACTGCAACAGTTTTGTTAAAAAAGCCTTCATTCTTGAATGAAAGCTAATAGATCACAATATCATATTTCCAGGCTGGCGACGAGGAGGTCTACCGGAAGAGGCGGAACCACGTGAAAAACGCCTGCAAGAAGCTTAACCGCTCTCGTAACATAACAGCCAAGGAGCTCCGCCTGCAGACCAGCGTTGTTCATTCCCCCAACCTTCTTTACTGTGCAATACCAAAATGCGGGACTACTTTTTGGCGGAGGGTTGTTGTAGCTCTCACCCGGAAGGATCCAACTATAAGAAGCCCGTTCCTGCTTTCCTACTCAGACTTTAATGTTAACAAAGCTGCCTTCAACAGAACCCTTCTTAAGCCAAAGAACTTCCCCGCGCTGCAAAACTTGTTAAATAATTCTTTGAAATTCGTGTTCACGCGGAATCCATATCATAGGTTGTTTTCATCCTATGTGGACAAAATCTACGCTCCAAATAATCAGTTCTGGGAAGTTATTGCGAAAAAAGCTGCGTTGTTAGTTCGGAAGGACAACCGCGATCCTAATGCTACGTGTGGTCAAGACCTATCATTTGGAGAGATGGTTCGGTACTTAAACACATTATCGCCTCGGAAGTATGACGAACATTTCTTGCCGGCTTCTCTTAAATGTGACGTGTGCAGCGTAGAGTATGACGTTATTGGCAAAATGGAGACATTTATCAAGGATATGAGTTACATATTAAATACATCTGATTCTGCGGGTGGTTACTTGAAGTTTCATGACGTGACTACCGAGTATAAGGTAGACTACATTGTCGATGCCGTGACAAGAGCGTTCTTGTTTAAAAAGAATGACAATAAACGTTGGAAAAGCTGGACGAAGTGTATCAGCACCCATGCTGCCAATCAAAGGATATGGCGTCAATTACAAATAGCTGGGCACATAGACAAGACCGACCCTTACCCCTTGACCCCTCAGGAAAGTGACGTCATAGCAATGACGGACTATATCAACATGGCCCTCCAGGCTTTTAAGCGGTCGTCGAAGCAAGCTAAAGCTCAGAAGACCGAGGCATATTTGCAAGCATATAGTGAACTCACACGTGAGGATTTAGAAATCCTGAGAGAGAAATACTTGAACGATTTTTATCTGTATGACTATGATGATCGACCTAAAGATTTATTTGAGCAGGTCGGTAAGGAGAAGATATGGGATTTCAATTACTATGATCTTTTGAAAGTTAAATAGTGGCCAGTTGCTTATTAAGCAGGTTCCATGATCTTGGTTGTAAGGTTTGTAAATAAACTATTTGTTACTTTATTTGCAGTCGTTGTGGCTCTGATTTGTTTGTTTGTTTGTTGTTGTTTAACGCCGCACTCAGCAATATTCCAGCTATATGACGGCGGACTGTAAATAATCAGGCTTGACAGGACAATCCAGTGATTAATATCATGATCCTCGATACACGCAATTGGGATCGATGATATGCATCAACGAAGTCAACGAGCCTGACCACCCGATCCCGTTAGTCGCCTTTTACGACAAGCATAGTCACCTCTTACGGCAAACATGGGTTGCTGAAGACCTATTCTATCCCGGAATCTTCACGGGTAAGGATGTGTGAGGGTAAATCCTGGTTCAGATAGCCGAAACATCAAACTACAAGCCACAAGCTTCTTTGCACAATCATAAGAAAGCTCTGCTTAAGGCAGAATCGATTGTACCATTCCGACAACAGCATAAGAAGGACTGTGGTAATGAATCATGGATAAATTGTGATGACACCAGGTGTTCGTGAAAGAGTCGGCATATCCAGCCCGACCGGTGGCTCCATCACAAACACATACAATAGCAAGTCAAGTAAGTGTTCACCTTAAAAACACAGGAACATGTGGTACAAGTCAAATAGGGAATAGCATTGGACATCATATTTGTCACTGATGCTTGCCTTTGTTGCCGTCGGTTGTCAATTGTCAGATTTGTCCCGATAATGATTCCAGCTCTGAAAGCTTAAAACCCGTGCTTGAAAATTTCCGAAAAGCCTCTGACTTGCATAACATTGAGCACCACTGACACATGCACATTAAGTGGACACTGGTTCAACCGAATCCCCACTTCGTAAAGCTGTCAGCTGCTTTGGTTTCTACCAGTCATCTATGTAGAAAAATCACATTTGCTATATCCTTATGTTTAACAAATACGGAATATTCCTCACCTGGGTTCATATAATTAAAGGAAATTACTAATAGAATAATTATTTTGACAATAATCAGGGTTAACCATTAACTAACAACAAATTTGGTTGTAACAGTATGCGTGAGTGAGTTGGGTTTAACGCCGCTTTTCACAGTATTCCAGTTATATCCAGGTGTCAGCAAAATGTGGGAGGAAAGCCCGAAGTGATGCAGGTATCAGACGTTTACCACTTCGGTGAAACCCACGAGCACGGGTATGGTGCTGACAAACCTAGAAACATGATCGGGGCGATCCGGGATTCGAACCCACAATCATTGGTTTCTTGCGTACCAAAGGGAGGCAACTCTGCACAGCGAATCACGGCGCCTTGGACGGCAGGGCCATCCCTCGCCCCGGTAACAGTATGACTCGATCTAGGACTGCCAAAATCCCGAAAATAGTTCCCCATTAAGTGCATAAAAATGAAACCAAAATATCATTGCCAGAACATAAACAATCTCTATTATCTGTCTTAACATAATCCATTGAGTGTAAAAGGCAAAATGTGATGAACAATTTACGATTGGAACTTAGTGATGACGCCAGGTGTTCGGATATACGTGTTCAGTTGCAGCTATATTTAAGAACAAACGAAACACACGCTAAAAGGGTAGGCATGTCCGTCTCTACCGGAAGCGCCCGCGACTCACAAAATTTGCATAAAAACAAATCCATTGTCACGTAATTAAGCCAATCAAATGATTTTTTATCATCCACATATAGACTTATAATATTTGTTATTATATATAAACCTATTCCTTTATCCTCAGAATTCGTTTAATTTGAATCTGGAATTTTGATTTGTCTTACTTTTCCTTTCAGCCAGTACCGTTTGAACTGTTAGAGAAAATTTACAGATCCAGACGGAGGCGCGCTAGGGATATATGTCGAGTCCGCAGAGCTGGGAAAATGAAGGCAGATAAGCTTCAGCGTCAAATTAGCATCCTCAAAAAGCCCAAATTGTTTTATTGTGCTGTGCCCAAAGCGGGTAGTACTTTTTGGAGGCGTGTGTTCGTGGCAGTCAAAAGAAGGAAGTCTGGAATATCATCCCCGTTCCTGTTTTCCTACTCTGATTTTATAACCAAAAAATACGCTTTAGATATTAAACTGACAAAATCTAACCGAGCGAAAGATTTACAGAAGATTGTCAAATCTTCTTTCAAATTCATCTTTACACGTGACCCGTATCATAGACTGTTTTCTACCTACATTGACAAAATGTACGCCCCCAATAGTGTATTTTGGGAGTACACTGCCAAACGGGCTATTAAGAAGGTGCGGTCTAATGGACGGTATTACACAGGATGTGGAGCGGATATTACATTTGTGGAATTAGTTAAATACTTGAACACGCTTCATCCCAATAACTACAACGAGCACCTTATGCCAGCAACAGGGAATTGTGATGTTTGTGGTGTCGATTATGACGTCATAGGCAAAATGGAAACCTTTTCCAGCGACGCCATGTATATTTTGAATAAAACCGGTTTGCTCGGGAAACAAATTGTTTTCTACGACATGCGAACTGAGCATAAAATTGATTATATCATAGACGCCGTCGTCAGGGGTTTCCGTCTCAAGCATGTAAGAAGGAGTGCTTGGATCAACTGTGTCAGCACCCATGCCGGATACCAACGAATATGGCGACAGATACAAATTGCTGGACTGATAGAAAAGACACGTGACTATCCACTCACTTCCGCCGGAAGTGAAGCAATCACTGTGACGGAATATATAAACATGGCACTTGAAGCCCACAGACATTCCAGTGGCTTATCCATGTTGAACAAGAAGGAAGCGTACCTGCAGGCCTACGCACAGTTATCGCCGAGAGACTTGGAAGCTATCAGGGAGAAGTACCTTGATGATTTCTATACATTCGGGTATCCTGATCGGCCAACGGAACTTTTTGACAGAGCAAATAATTCTCAACAAGATAATGTGTTTGACTACTTTGACTTGTTGACAGAACAATAAAACTGGTATGATTGGACTCATTTACACACCTTATTTGTCAAACGACAAAGTTAACATTAACTTAGGCAGATATTGATCAATTATGTTGATATCATACAAAGCCATATGTGCGTTTGATTATTTCCTGGAATAATTAATTATTATAAGAACCCGCATCAAAGATGTGTGTGATGTAAATATGGTTCTCGGTGTGTCAATAAAAGTATGTACGGGATTCATGCAGATTTCACAAATTGTATTACTAACAAACACCAAATTTAGATGGTCACATACACACTCGTACCAGGCTACGATCACACGTTGTGAACCACTCGATACATATTGATGGACTCGTTCGACACGCGGAGTCACGTGGGGCCCAGTCGTTCAGGGGGCCGGAGCTGTGCTGTACACATGGGGTGGGTTTTGTCTGCAAAGTTCCACAATGATGCTAAAATTGGCTAATGTACAAAATGAAATTTAAATTGTGATTTATTCATTTCCGAGTTCATTCGAAAAATACCAACACGTAAACATGACATAAAATGGACATCAAGGTTGGTTTTCTGTGGTTTAGCTATAACATGTTTACACGTTTTATCTATTTGAGTTTGAAAACAAAATCCATTCTAAACCTAGTAAGCGTGAAAGTTTGCTTTTATTAGTTATTTTGAAGTATTGATGACCTATTTAACAGACCCGTGAATATCCGGGGTAGAATAGGTCTTCAGCAACCCAGGCTTGCCGTAAAAGGCGACTATGCCTGTCGTAAGAGGCGACTAACGGGATCGGGTGGTCAGACTCGCTGACTTGTTTGATGCATGTCATCTATCCCAATTGCGTGGATCGATGCTCATGATATTAATCACTGGATTGTCTGGTCCAGACTCGATTACTTACAGACCGCTGTCATATAGCTGGAATATTGCTGAGTGCGGCGTAAAACAACCAACCAACCATTTAACAAAATCCCGTTTCCAATGTAATCCTACCAAAGACGTTTGACGCTAAAGACGTTAGCTTGATGTGTTCTGGAAGAACTTACGTTTGAAATCGATCATATATTATGAGTGAGTGAGTATGGTTTTACGCCGCTTTTAGCAATATTGTAGCAATATCACTGCGGGTGTACACAATGAATGTGCTGCACACATTGTACCCATGTGGGGAATCGAACCTGGGCCTTCGGCGTGATGAGCGATGAGCTTTAACCACAAGGTTGCCCCACTGCCCCTCATACATTATGAAAAAAACGAAAAAAACACTCAAACACGATGTAAACTTACATATACTGAACAACATTGAATAAGATTTAATGCAAAGTAATGTTTTTTACCAAATCTGAAACAATTTCGGTTTGCAACAGATATAAGACTCCTATACGTGCTCAAATGGTTTAATTTGCCATACTGACTTCAGAAAATGCGTGATTTGCGCCAAAATGTCAATTAACAAATCAATAACGTGTGTGTCCACCTCTGGTTGCGATGCAAGCAACACATATTCGTCTCGTGGAATGGACCAGGCGTCGCACAAAGTCCTGTGGGATATCTGTCCATATCTGCTGGAGCATGTTTCGAAGTTCCTGGAGTGTCTGTGGAACACGTGGTTGACGTCGAAGGCGCCGATCCATCTCATCCCACATGTGCTCGATTGGTGAGAGATCCGGGGAGCGAGACGGCCAGGGGATGACATTCACGTTGTTTTGTTGAAGAGAATCCTGAACAAGTCGAGCAATATGAGGCCGGGCGTTGTCATGTTGAAAGGTAATGCCTGGGCCATGACGACGCAACAACGGTAGAACAGCAGGGCCGATGATCTCGTCGCGGTAGCGCTGTCCATTTAGATTTCCCTCTACCACTATCAAACGGGTTCTCTGTCTTGCTGTAATCCCACCCTACACCATAACGCTGCCGCCCCCGAACCGATCTTCTTCCATGACACAATGATGGACGTAACGTTCACCCCGACGTCGGTACACTCGAATCTGTCCATCGCTGTGGCTGAGTTGAAAACGAGACTCGTCAGTGAATAGAACGTAGACGCTGTCTGCACCACTGTAGACGTGCTTGGCGGTGGTTTCCTGTCAAAATGGGACGTCTGGCGTGTCTTCTGGCGACAATCCCTGCACATCTGAGGCGGCGACGTACGGTTTGTGAAGATATTCGTCGAAGGCTAGGGATGCTTCTTGCAGTCACTGTTGCTGGCTGGAATCTATTTCGTAGGTGTGTTGTTCGAATCCAGTCGTCTTGTCGATTATTGGTTACGCGTGGCTTGCCACTCCGAGGATGGTCTCTGACTGTATTCGTCTGTTGCCAACGTTGCCATAATCACCAAATGGTGTTTCTGTGGACGTTAAATTGTCTTGCAACATCACCTTGACTCGATCCTGCTTCAAGCAGTCAACTTTTGCATGGAATGCATGCTTTTCTGTAGCAGATGCGTTTTTAGGACTTGATTCCATACATGTACTACAATATTAAAAACCAAACTTTACTTGTTTGAAAAATACACTAAAATATTGGTGTCATAGGAACTTTGGCTGTTGAGTATATATTGAAAAATGTTAAGCATCGCTTACTTAAAATGTGTTATATACTGAACCGCAAAAGAATCGTCACCCCAAGTAACATTGCATGAAAAGTTGTTATTTGGGTAATGTTTGTAAAAGTTTCTTAAATTTAACATTACTTTGTCCGGAAAAATGAAATTTGATGAGAGAAAAAAACAAAGCAGATGACAATAAAACCGATCGCCCAAACACATCACGGCAACGGCCATGGTAACCCGACGTATGGATGGTAACATTACCACCCAGGGATAAACATCTATAAGCTATGTCATGGTAACCCGATGCACATGGGTTCCATGCAAATTTAATGCACATGCGTTCCCCCATTTCTTGCTCTATAAAAATCCACCCAGATCGGATAACATTCATTCGATATTGAATTGCTACCACATGCCAAGATTGACAAGACATCAGCGACACCAAGCCCTTGGACGATTGCAGGCTTGACAAACTGCCCGGCAAGTAGCCAATGCATTCCAAGTCCACGTAAGGACGGTATATACAGGCTCGAACAACGGTACCAGACCACCAACACTACAGATGACCGACCACGGAGTGGAAGACCAAGGGTCACCACCCGACGTCAGGATCGTCAGATTGTGCGACAGCATCTTCAAGATCGCTTTGTTACTGCTGCGGAAACTGCTCGACAGACCATGGAGACACACCAGCGACACATTAGTGCGGACACCGTGGGTCGACGATTGACGAGCAGACACCTCAACTGTCACAGGCTACACCGATGACCCATTCTGACACCACGCCATTGTCGTGACCATCTTCAGTGGGCAACACAGTACCAGCATTGGCGCCACTAGCAGTGGAGAAGAGTCCTCTTCTAAGACGAGAGCCATTACTGTATCTCAACAGCAGATGGCAGAGAGAGAGAGAGTCTAGCGATGCCGTGGGAAACGTTATTCGGATGCTTGTGATGTTGAGAGAGATTCGTGGGATGGTCCGAGCATCATGGTGTGGGGTGGAATTGGTCTTGCACAGAGGGTCATCCCTGTGGTCTTCCAGAACATCGGTCCAGGGAGAGGCAATGATGTCACAGCAGCTCGGTACATTGATCAAGTCTTGAGACCACACGCCATACCTCATTTGGCACGTCGCTGCAACCACGAGTTTCAGCATGATAACGCACGTCGCCACACTGCGAGAGCAACAAGAGACTTCCTCCAGCAGAATGGCATCAGATCCCTGCAGTGGCCTGCCCTCAGTCCCGATTTAAATCCCATTGAGCACCTGTGGGACGAGATTCAAAGACGGCTGAATGACGTCCGACCAAGGCCGACAACTGCAGCTGAACTGCGTCAGGCGTTCCTAAGAGTGTGGGCTCACGTGCCTATGGCCTTCATCAACCGTCTCAACCATTCCTTGTATCGACGTTGCACGACAGTCATCAATGCACATGGCGGACACATGAGATACTGACTTGTGATGCCATTTTCTCAGAGACTAGTGTTGTGTGGCACTTTAAGAACATTTCAACTTTGATGATCAGTCTTTGATGCCAAGTTTCATCTTTTTAACATGTCTCAAAGTATGTTTACAGTGTTTGGACAAATAAGGTTTCTCATATACCTATCCATGGTGACGTTTCTTTTGCGGTTCAGTTTATTATAGGTACCTAATATATTGTTTCAAGTGGTGATTAATTTCACTTTAAACTCTAAGTATAGTATCAAAATGGGTATTAAACTGATTTATTGCGGGAAAATGTTTATTAAAATACTTCAATTCCTACGCGAATTCTGATTGGCAAGCCTGTATGTTTCGACTCAAACCGTAATAAACGCGAGAATGCGATCTCGCGTTCTCGTGCTTTTGTGTCCATTACCTAATAGTATACACTCAGTTATATGCCACTATTTTCAAAAACGATAGATTGCGACACTTGACCAATGTCGCGATCTCGCGCTTTTGTGCCAATTGCCTACACAGTTATATGTAACTATTTTCTAAAATGCGAGGACGCGAGATTGCGACACTTGACTTGTCTGAAATAGTCTGTACAATTCAAATTTGGAAAGAATGTATGTAGGGTGCACCGAGACATCTGCAACGCAATTCAAAGACACCAGAAACGCATTTCAAAAAGAGCAATTTTAAAGTCGAAAGTGACCCCCCCTAGTATCCAATGCATACCATGAGCCGACTGAAGAACGTCGGGTAGTCACTGTGGATTATTTGTCTAATTGTGTGTTATGTGCCCGATGGCATGGATCGTTGCCTATGCATTCACTCGATAATTTGTCTGCCCTAGACTCGATTATTGACATGCCGCTGTTATATACGTCTAATATTGCTTATTTGCGGGGCTAGACACCATTCTATTACATGGTCATTTGAGTATATGTGTGATGCACAATCAATAAGTATGCACTTGTTATAAACGTTTGCATTTGCTGGTGCACGTGTGGTGTCGAACGGATGTGATGTATTGAAAGGATTGCTTTCTCGATTATTTATCTAAGGATTGGCCGTCCACAAAGGCCCCATTCAACCCGATATATATGAATACAAAGTAAGCGTAGTGGGAGAATGTTTGCTTTGACTGCTCAAACATTGATTTTGTGTGTATATTCCGTGATTGTGACAGCGTTTGCTTCGGTGGTACCGAGGACATCACTTTAAACAAAACTCAGGAGACGTTACCCCACTCCGTGGTGGTGTGGATAGAGCGTCTGTCCGGGGAACGGAAGGTCATTGGTTCGATCCCCGGTCGCGTCATACCAAAAGACATTAAAATATGGTACTTTTTGTTACCCTGCCTGGTGCTCGGTATTAAGGGGCCGTAACAAGGACTGGTTGGATCAGAGTAACACTAACACACAACGAGCGCCAGGCAGGGTAACAACAAGTTCCATCTTTTAACGTCTTTTGGTGTGACGCGGCCGGGATTCGAACCCCCGGTCTTCCTCTCTCCGGGCAAAAGTTGATACGCTATGATATAACTTGAATACTGTTCAAAGCGCCGTTAAAACCAACTATTGACTTTTTCCATCCTGGTGAAACCAAACCGTAACATTTCCGTTTGACTACAAAGGCTTAATAATTTAGTATTTACTTTATTTAATTTAGTCCATTGTATGATCCCGACTATATCATAAGCATATGTTTATTAATCACTACCAAATTGTGATGCTACCGTAACATGTCGACGGTAGTCTGCTCCATCGGTGGCACTCGTCAAAAACTTATCTTCTGTATATGGATAATATATATATATATACTTGATGAAAAACTTCCCATTTCTTTCAACTCTATTGTTGCCATTAGTAAAACGTTCACCACTAGGCAACCCCAACGCCTCCTTGTGTATAGAGAAGATATAGAGTGAAGTGGCAGTGATTCAATATTTCATAATAAAGTGTGATGTTTAGATGAAGTAAGGGAACACCGATAATAAGTATGCTGCTGTGTATGCTTAAAGTGCTATTATCTTATGTTCGCAAAAAAAGAGACGTATTGAAATAGCGAAAACCGTGCCTCAGTAATTACAGTTGAGTGAGTAAGTGAGTTTGGTTTTACGCCGCTTTTAGCAATATTCCAGCAATATCACGGAGGGGACACCAGAAATGGGCTTTACTCATTGTACCCATGTCAGGAATCGAACCCGCGTCTTTAGCGTGACGAGCGAACGCTTTAACCACTAGGCTACCCGACCGCCCCCAATTAGGTGAAAAATGGAAATGGAACAAAAAGAACATCATACGAACACTATCGAAATGCGTAGGAATGTCGGAACACAAATCAGATTTAATACACTGCAGTTGATATTGAAATAGTGATCATGGGTGAAGGGTCGGAATAGGGCGAGACAATCATGCAAGTCACAGCGCCGGCCCATTCCAGCGCCACTGAAGTCTGCTCTTAAAAAAGCATGAAGTACTGGAGAGCTTTCTGAACGGGAGTCCTCATAAACATATTGTAATTAGTCTTCAGTACCTGATATGACACACTGTGTGAAATGAATGTATTATATGTTTCAGGCGAAGAGAATACCAATAAGTAAGAGTAACTATTTATTGTCAACTGTTAAAATGCATATTGATATGCCATTTACATAATAAAGCTCATGAAATACATGCACTATCCTGATCATAGTGGGATATTCAATGGTCTACTTTTCACCTTCAAACACTGAGGGGCGTCGCATGATTCTCAGATGAAGATACAAACATCAGATGGGCTCTTATTATCAAGATGCATGCATTTATCACTACCTCAGCCTCATGACATCAAAGTAGTCAAAATCAGTCCAAGGTTCTCTATTTATGTTGAATAACTTTCGAGGACGCTGGTTATAGTCAAACATTTCAAAATCAACCAGATAATTTTTGCGGAGATTTTCCTTTTCTTTCAATGACACCATCGAATATGCTTGCAAAAAGGCCTCTTTCTTGTTGCCTTTAGCCGACGGCCCAGATCTCTTGAATGCTTCCAATGCCATGTTCAGATATTCGGTGACAGTGATGTTGCTACTCTGATCGGTTGTGAGTGGGTACGGGTCTGTTTTTTCTATCATCCCTCCTATTTGTAACTGGCGCCATAGTCTCTGGTATCCTGCGTGAAGACTTATGCACTGCGTCCATCCCTTCCTAAAGTCAAACGCTCTCACCACTGCATCAAGTATGTAATCTACCTTGTACTCAATATTCATATTTTTGAATATTATTTCACTGTCATAGGAACCTACCTTTTTCAAAATATACCGTATGTCATCTTCGAACGTTTCTAACTTGCCAATGACATCATAGTCCGCTACGCATGCGTCGCATCTATACGCGACCGGTCGAAGGTGAAAATCAATTGTTTTAAACTTGCGAGTGTTTATATATTTGACATATTCATCAAACGAAACATCGGATCCACATGCATTCGTTCTATCTGTATTGGATGATCTGAACATCTCAATCGCGTTTTTTCCAAGTCCCCACATATAAGTGTTTGGTGAGAGAATTTTATCTATAAATGTTGAAAATACCCTGCTGTATGGATCCCGAGCAAAAAGGAATTTAAGAGTTGTTTGGAGGAGTTTAGACATGTCTTCCGCATGGGCCGTCTCGGTCATATTGAGTGGAATCTTGGCCTTTGATAGTTTGAAATCCATATAAGAGAGCTGGAAAGGCGAAACAATCTTTGGGTCTTTGCGCCTGATCACTTCGAAAGCTCTTCGCCAGAAGGTTGAACCAGATTTTGCAACAGGACAATACATTATGCGAGGTTTATCCAGGAACCAGTGAAGATCACGTATTTCCCCTGGAGGCATTCGCTTTGTGTCCTCTTGTCTCTGACAATACATATTCATGTATTGTTTCCTTTGGGTATATATACTGTCATTTTCAACCTGTGAGAAAAAAGTTGAGACATTGAAAAACAGACCTGTCACTACATTTTGATAAATCATACCATTTATACCAATAACGTCCGATAAGAACAGAACACACTCTTGAAATCGTACTATTCTTTATTATTACTTGCCCTTGAAGAGATCACCCGTTTAATAAACATACAGCTGTATTACACATTGTGTAATAACAAAACGCGTGCTTATGTACTCTCGGAACACGTTTCACGAACAAATATTGAAAGCTCTCAACATCCCTTGGCTTATTCAACGACATTGCGTGTGGAGTTGATGGATCACTGAGAGGAGCTTATGCACACTCGATGACCCCAGCAACCTTGTTGATAGGCTGACGTCACATGGCATTGTTTCGCCGATGGATCTTGCAACAAAATTCCACAATTTTCGTCATCGGGTATTGTGACGTGATTGTAAACTGTGAGGTGCAAGGCCCGTTCCACAAGGGGCGCGTTGCAAGCCACGACACGCTAAGAGAAAGCAAATTAATCGCTCATCCCGGTGTCTGCAACAGTTCGAAGCGCTTGCGCACTCTTCCAAAATGGCGGCGCAACTAGCGCTTGGTTGCCTTGACGTAATGAAGAACGTAATAGAAGAGTCTCGATGACGAGCTTATGGAATTTATAATTACTTTGAAGATGTAGAGCAGGCTGAGGATGATGGGGTGTTGGCTACCTTTGCTCATTTCCTCGTTGATCCTGTCAAAAAGTTCTTGTTCCGCTGTCAAAGTAAGCCGCCATTTTGGTTTGAGAACGAAGCGACCTCAGCCAGCGATTGTTTCGCTTGCAAGCGGCTGAAAGTTAGCGCACTGTTGTAAGGCGAATCGCTGTACATCGCTTGCAAGCGATTGGCGCTTTGCAACGCACCCAAGGCGATCGTATTGTAGCGCAAGGACTCTCGTTAGTCTAAGTTAAAGTATGTGAGTTGCGATAGTCTTAGCCCTACGATAATTTTGTGGAACGGACGTCTCAATTCTAAAGGTGGACCGTTGTATGGTATTAAATTCATACGTTTCAACTTTTGACGTGTTTGAAGGATTATTCTGTTAAACTCAATTGGACTATGCCGTGGATCGTGTAGGTGTCAGCCTATTCATATTCAACAGTATAATTCTAAAAACGTTATACATGGCAAGAAATAAATAAATTACTAAACTCGCTCCCGTGTAAAACCAATTTTATGAAACTCGTGAATAGTTGTAGTATCTGACTCGCTTTCGCTCGTGAGATACCACAGCTATTCACTCGTTTCATAAAATTGGTATTACACGGGAGCTCGTTTAGTATTCTATATTTATTACAGTTGAGACTAAATTGGCAGGATATATAATTATTATTCTGTTTTCACAGCATTTGATGTATGTTCAAAGAATGTTTCGGATGTCTGACTGTGATTTATTGACAATGTTCTATAAAGGGTAATTCTGAGATCTGAGGTAGCATTGATAACGTTTGTAATTACTCTAGATCTGGTATTATATTGAAAAAAATGGGGTAGATGTGTAAATGAAAGTATTGTTTTGACCGGATCCAAAAATTAAAGGGCGGCAAATAAATAGATTGTCATTCTAGTGGCCTGTACCTAATTTTATATCCATCAGAAGTTTAGATTAACAACCTTTGACTACGTAATTCATTTTGCGAGTTTCCCGTGTGTCCTACTCAAAACCCGCCAAGCAGATGAAGGGTTATAGACATGCTGCACAATCTTGACTGTTATGTATTTCATTATGATTAAACTTCGTACACCTATTATGGTTATGTTACGTAACGACTATAAAAGTTATTCTTCTCACCTGAGTCTGTTGTGCTCTGTTTTCCAATTGGGTCTGCAGGTTATGAATATAATGTTTCACTATAACGTCTCTCGTTTTGACATCTCTGGGTAGGTTTAGGCTCAGCTGCAGGCGTTGGTGCACCGGTACAGGTAGAAGGTGGTCACTGCCCTGGGTATCTTAACACACATGAATCAGAGTGAGTGAGTGAGTGAGTGAGTATGGTTTTACGCCGCTTTTAGCAATATTCCAGCAATATCACGGCGGGGGACACCAGAAATGGGCTTCACACATTGTACCCATGTCGGGAATCGAACCCGGGTCTTCGGCGTGACGAGCGAACGCTTTAACCACTAGGCTACCCGACCGCCCCCATGAATCAGAAGTAACATTTCCGTCAACACATTGTGTGGAGTCGTGCTTGTGGGTAAACGTCTAGATGTGCATTACTTTGTGTATTCCCATCACATGATATCATTGGGTGTTCAAAACAGTCTTAAAATCCATTTACCCACTTATAGTACCCCCAAAAGAATACTCTGGTTATCAATTAGTGGCTTTAACCTACGTATCGAATTCGTTTTTTTGGGCATGGCTGTGAACGTTTTAGCCAATTAGTTACGTTTAAATCATTTAGCAGTTACTTTCAATTGCGCATAGGACCTTTAATACGTTGGTTTAAAATAATTTATGATCATGTATCATGCATATATTAGTATATTGTGTAAATAACTATGATTTATAATTGAATCTAGGTTAAACTGCCACCCTGCTTACGCACAATTGGTTAGATAGATCCATTATAATAGAAGTAAGCATTGGCTGAAAGTTGAAGTCATCCCTCACACAGTCTTGTGGGTATTCTTGTCACTAAATCTTTATTCGTTGGTCTTAATACGAAACGGATGGGACAGTTTCACTGGTCTCTTTTATTTCTAGTATGTGATACCATACACCAAAGGTTACTCCTTTATTATTTAGTTTCCTTGGATTTTCAAAAACAGGACATGCAGCTATACTCTTATTTATAACTTCCAAAAATGCTACAGAACTATCTGGCAATCTTTCTAAACATGTATGCCTAGCTCAGTTCACAATGCCTAGCTCAGTTCACATATCAAGACCGCCTCCGTGGTCTAGTGGTATAGCGTCCGCCCGGAGAGCGGAAGGTCCGGGGTTCGATCACCCGGCCGCGTCATACCAAAAGACGTTAAAAGATGGTACTTGTTGTTACCCTGTCTGGCGTTCCGCTAAAACAAGGACCGGAGTCAGTATATTGTGTCTCAGTGGGGTATTCATGTTTACCTGCGGCATGGTATCTCAGTGAGCTAGCACTATAAATCGGCATCAGTCCGGACTAATACAAGCGGTCACACACACACACACACACACACACACACACACACACACACACACACACACACACACACACGTGCATGCATGCACGACGCTATATAAGTGCAATAATCCTTGACGCGACGTTAAACCCAATTTCACCTCACATCACACATCAAGTCAAATACTAAGTACGAAAGAAAAGACAGGGGGGCTCATAAACCTTCGAGTCTATCAATTATATTGAAACATCAGGGTGTTATTGTTTTGTGGTAATACACCTTACAGATAATGAAATAAAATCTTAGATTATTTGAGGATGCTGAAAGTTAGTCTTATATCCCGTTTACATGCGCAACATTTACGCACGTAAGTAATTTTACACATATGTAACTATACATACGTGTGTATATGTAAATTTACTATGCGTTCACATGAAAAGCATCCTAGGTGTGTAAATAAAGTCTGTAAATGGTGTCAGGTACACATATTCATCAGTTTGTTCATGACTTAAAACATATGACAGGTTGTTAATATCCAATCAAAGTTGAATGAGACGAGAGTTACTTTACCGAAATTCTTCACATGAAGCAACATGTGTTTGATTTAATTTGTACACACAGTTTGGACTACTTGAAACCAAATGAAAACACCGTCCGCCCAGCTCATAAAAGTTGGCAACTTCAGAATACAGAACTGCTGACAATGTGTTTGGTGTTGGCAAATCAACAAATATATACTCACCGACAACAGAAACACGTGTACTAGGCATGTTGGTTAATGTATGAAGAGTTACTCATATTCAAAAATTATTAGACGTGTTCGACGCACAAACGAACATACTGGTATGCTGTGTGAACTGACGGTCATGAACGCTTCACCGCGATAGATCCATTACTTGCGATGCACCATCTGTCCTGTGCAGGATTAGGGTGTAAAGTTTGGAAACACGTGCATCATATCGTGATAAAAATAAAGCTAAGTTGTGGTAACACTTGACTGACTGATTGTTAGATTTGTCATTAAGTGGTACACATTAGAAACATCTCTTCTTAACGTACATACTTCTCTATATGTTTCTATGGTTCACGTTTCTTTTGGCCGTGAGTTTATTAATTCGATCACCCTCTGACGTTCACATTGCAACATCGCAACAATTACATTAAATTTTACATTTGCCCCTCTCCAGACATGATGTAATTTTGCTCCAGGTGTAATTATACACACATGAGTAAACGCGTTCACATGACAAGTATACTCACGTATGTATTTCTACACGTATGCAAATATGCACACATATGTACAGCGGCGCATGTGAACGGGGTAATAGTCATTAACGAGCGCCGACTGACAGACAGCTGTATGTAGTTAGTGCCCAACTATAGACAAAGGTTTTCAGTACAATTTATGCATTTGCCTCCATAACCGTCATGTGTATTGTATTCCTTACCATTCATCATTTTTACAAATGATACACAAGACCCACAATTTCATAGAATGAAATAACAATAGGATTCTTACATGATATTGCCCTTGCGTAGACCCCCTGATAAACATCAGCATGAGGGTGAGAGGGAAAGGAAGGTATACTTACAAAAAACGTGAAGAATCCATATTGTTGGCAAGGCAACACACACTATGAGAACAAATCGTCTCCGCAGCCTATTTGTAATGAACATGACTGACTGAGTACCCATATGAGAATACATGTAAGCCATATGGCGCAGGACGCCTCCTCGCCCAGAAGCTATGCGTTCGGTCGCATTGATATCAGATCAATATGATAATATGTAAGCACAGCTTGCTGGGTGGATGTTTCAAGGAGTGAGTGAGTTGGGTTTAACGCCGCTTTTAACAGTATTCCAGTTATATCACGGCGTGTCAGCTTAATGTGGGAGGAAAGCCTCAAGTGATGTAGGTCTTAGACGTTCTACCACTTCGGTGAAACCAAAGAGCACGGGTATGGTGCTGACAAGCCTAGAAACATAATCGGGGCGAACCGGGATTCGAACCCACAATCATAGGTTTCTGGCGTGCCTAAGGGACGCAACTCTGCACAGCGAATCGCGGCGCCTTAGACGACTGGGCCACCCGTGCCCCCGATGTTTCAAGGAAGCCCCCATGTAAATTAACGGGTGTTACCTAATCATTGGATATTAATAACATTTTACTTTTGAGGAGTAGGACACGTATTCTTGTCTACTTAATGTACAGTAAACTACGGTTATAACGAACTCAAAGGAACCATTAATTTTAGTTCGTAATAACCGTAGTTCGTTATAAGCATATATACAACCTATATACAACAAATTGTCGGGACTTAAAAATAAGTTCGTTATATCGGTCAGTTCGTTATAAGTGTATTCGTTATAAACGTAGTTTACTGTATTCACAAAGTATCAGGATGAACATGAGCTAAGTTCAAGTGTAAGACCTGTGAAATCACCACGATTACGTAACAATTTCGCCTCACGGAAAGGGATGGGCAAGTGTGTTAACTGCACGAAGTACTCCAGTCAAAGATAACACAACACAAAAAGACAGTGTATTGAAGTATCAAAAAGTTACAGGGTGCAAATCCAGGCTGCACAGTCTGGAAGACACCTAAAACAAAATGAACAGATCTAGCTTGCGATGTTGGTGTCCAGGCAGTGCAGGCAGAAAGAGCTTATAAAACATATTTAAAAAAATAAACAATAATCCAAGTGATATTCGGGATGTGATGATAAAACGATATTGTTAAAGACTATGCAAACGCATTGTTGATACCAAAAGCATATGTGCATAAATAAACACACAACTCCAATAATTGTTTACAGAAATTATATTAACTAATAATCCCCCAATATAATCATCACATCCTTTCTACCATATAGGAAACATATAAGATCCCACCTGACGTGAGGTGAAAGTCACTTTAACAGCGGCCAATGGGGATTTGGGAAACATACATTTAAACCCAAAATGAGGGAATATTTATCCCAGCGCACTTGGGGTATGATATGTATGTATATAGAACCGGTTTAAACACGCAATACTGATAACCACGACAGGACACCTGGCCTGTACTAGAATTGTGGCTAAGAGGAGTGGGGTATGACTGCCTGTTGGATGATCGTACCAGTCCATATAGGGCTAGCTCCAACAGTATGTCAATACACCCAGTAGGTAAGCCACTTGAGGCTACCCAGAATGAATGCCCAATTTAAACCAATATATTTAAAAGGATTGTAATAAATGGATATTACATAATATATATTACTCAAATTGCAGGCAAATTATTGGCCATATAATATAATACATTATATTATTATTGAATACATGGTGACTTCACTATCACATCGAGTGGGAAAACGCAGTGAAATATACTTTATACCACCGATCCGACAATGTAGAAATACAACATATTTAAAAGGGCTGGATTGAGATTTAATAAAATATTTACATATTAAGATATCGGTCATTGCTAAGCCTGTTGTCATCATGTAGGATTGCGTAACGCCAGACGCAAAGAGAACAAAAAAGTTACCATTTGCAGGAAATAGCCAACGTGTGGAATGCACACTAATATCGAATTGCCTGATAAATTATGTCATATATATTGGCTAGTATGTGTTACTATTATTTTACAGACATAAAGGATAGGGTGACATTGATGTATAGTAGGCCAAACATGAAGCAGACGACGGAGCCATGCCTTGTTTACATCCGGTGCGGCCATTTTGTAATGCAACCGGAAGAGAGCCGGAGAGGGCCGAGGATAGCCGAAGATAATGTGTGCTGCCCAGCGCACAGGTCAAGAGTTGTCAGTGAGGTGTCAGCCACTAATTATTTCCAGATGGCACCAGGGTGTTTTAACTGAGCGCATGGCTTGGGAAACAATGACCAGTGATAGCCACTTGTTAATTGAAAATAAACTTGCAACAGAGTTCAGTTGTTGTCAGCAACAAGTGCATTTATCAGACGAAGGAATTTGGAATAATTGGAACTTTGAATTTAGCAATGAGTTAGTGGCAATTTTGACTGGCCGACCTAATTAGCAAAATTACTTCCAAACACAAAAGGTATCTTACTAAAGCTATTTTAAAACATGAAAATAATGCAACAAATAAATGTCAGTCATTATTGCCATTGAGTGCATTTTTGGACAGTCACAGATGAGTGACGTTTGCCACAGCAAGAATGACTTGGACCAGTGGCCAAACACTTGTTTTGAATTTTGCTTGACTTAATGAAATTAAATGCAGCACATGATTCTTAGTCCTGTAAATGTTATAACTATGCACTGGACCATACCACAATTGCATACAATAGACCTATAGTTGCCATATAGAGAAACTGGTGCTCTTACCTAAAACAAAATGAACATATCTAGCTGGCGATGTTGGTGTCCAGGCAGTGCAGGCAGAAAGAGGCTGTTAAAAAGTTTAGGGGTTCCACGGTGGCACTGGCCCTTGTCATGTGACCCCATAGCCCCCGGTTGGCTAAAAGCTGTTGCTATGGGACCCATGAGAACAGGAGCCGTGAACCCCGAACCCCTATTCTGAAATTAGTAAATTTGCAGAATGTTTTGGTTACTGGTGTAAGGAACTTGGGCAAAATTCGATTCCCGACATAGGTATATTTTGTGAAGCCCATATTCTGGTTTTCCCCGCCGTGATATTGCTGGAATATTGCTAAAAGCGGCGTAAAACCATACTCACTCACTCACTGTAATGTGTTTCTCTGGCGTTGACGTTATATTTTCAGTTTCACACACATGTTATGTCATGCATGGTTAACTTTTACAGTCTTTCACACATCTACAAGATGTACTTGAAAACAATTTCACACCGGACGAGATCATAAACATTTTTTTATTGACGTTTTTTATGAGGTGTCATACCTCCCGAGGGTCGACAAGCGGTTACTCATGGTCTAATTGTGTCAGCCTCCGGCTTCTACCGTTTGCTACAGCATAATCTCAACCCACTGTCGATGGGGGTATCTGTAAATTAATATTCTTTGGTTCTTGAGACATTCATTTGTTGTAGCACTTCAATTTGTCAAGTGACTTTCAAACAATATTGGATTCGGACCCAATTTCATAGATCCCTGCGCGCCTATTGAAAGCAACTCAGCGAATTGTGGCGCCTCAGACAACTGGCCACCCGCGCCACCTACCAACCAGATATCAGATATTTTTTCAAATGTTTATATAGGAATCAAAAGAGAACACGTCTTTATTAATTAACAACTGTCATTACATTAGAAGGGCGTTGAGATAACATTGTGCTAAAAGCGTTGGCTCTTCAAGCGGAAGTGAGTGAGTTGGGTTTAACGCCGCTTTTAACAGTATTCCAATTATATCACGGCGGGTCAGCTTAATGTGGGAGGAAAGCCCGAAGTGATGCAGGTCTCAGACGTTTACCACTTCGGTGAAACCCACGGGCACGGGTATGGTGCTGACAAACCTAGAAACATAATCGGGGCGAACCGGGATTCGAACCCACAATCATAGGTTTCTGGCGTGCCCAAGGGACGCAACTCTGCACAGCGAATCGCGGCGCCTTAGACGACTGGGCCACCCGTGCCCCCTCTTCAAGCGGAAGACAAGGGTGTTATTCCCCATAGCTCCAGTATTGCTTACCATACTTATTCACTCATACCCTAAGAAATATCCATTTGAAATGTTACTGACAGAAGATGAGCGTACAGCTTCTTGTGGGTACCTCAGACATCTTATCTTTCAAAATCGATCAATTTCTTTCTTCGGCACACAGTTACATGTCAGACTTGGTAGAGGTCATGAAACAATTTATTGTTACACACAATTTAAACGCGTTTATTAAGTATTCGCTCGAACACTGATATTCATTATTATCCGATACATGAAACGGGGAGAATGTATTCGATTCTGTCCTTCCCGTTACGTCTATTTTTTCACCCCAGAAAGGAGGTGGTCGGGTAGCCTAGTGGTTAAAGCGTTCGCTCATCACGCCGAAGACCCGGGTTCGATTCCCGACATAGGTATATTTTGTGAAGCCCATATTCTGGTGTCCCCCGCCGTGATATTGCTGGAATATTGCTAAAAGCGACGTAAAACCACACTCACTCACTCACTCACCCACCCCAGAAAGTAGTGATTGAAACACTTACATGCATTTGTAAACAAATGATAGTGGGATATTACCGCGCATCTCAAATTACCGATTGGCTACAAATGACGAAAGGTTTAGATTCAGGCAGGCCCCAGGAAACCGCTTGGCAATTCAGGCGGGTAAATAAAAGCGACAAAACCCTTTCCATAGAAATCTCTGCCAATGCATTGTCGACTGTACGATTCCGACTATATCACAATGAGTGAGTGAGTGAGTTGGGTTTAACGCCGCTTTTAACATTATTCCAGTTATATCACGGCGTTTCAGCTTAATTTGGGAGGAAAGCCCCATGTGATGCAGGTCTAAGACGTTTATCACTTCGGTGAAACCCACGAGCACGGGTATGGTGCTGACAAACCAAGAAACATAATTGGCGCGAACCGGGTTCTATTTCCGACATGGGTACAATGTGGGAATCCCATTTCTGGTGTCCCCCGCCGTGATGTTGTTGGAATATTGCTCAAAGCGGCGTAAAATCAAACTCACTCACTATTATTCGTTAAAGTGCGAAGCTATTTGTGATGAGATAATGTCATAATGCAATAAAATGTTTGCAGTTTTAATAAAATGTCATAACTCTTCCGAAAATATCGTGTTCCTGATGCCCGGAGAGCGTAAGGTCCGTGTTTCGATCCCCGGCCGCGTCATACCAAAAGACGTTAAACAGTGATACTTTTTGTTAACCTGCCTGGGGCTCACGATACACTTCGGTATGGTGCGCAATCACTATAAAATCGGAATTAGTCAGGACTTGTACAAGCACACACACACGCACACGCACACGCACGCACACACACGCGCACGCGCGCACACACACACACACACACACACACACACACACACACACACAAAGAAAAAGACTTGGGGCTTTCCTTCAAAATTTAGCCGATACGCAGGGATATAGCTGGAATACAGTTCAAAGCGCCTTGGGCTGTGGGGTAGCTTTGTGGTTAAAGCGTTCGCTCGTCACGCCGATGACCCGGGATCGCGAGCGATTCCTCACATGTGTACAATTCGTGAAGCGCATTTGTAGTTTCCCCCGCCGCGATATTGCTGGAAGACATGTGTTGCTATGAGCGGCGTAAATCCATCCTCACTCACTCATCTGACACCTCATAAAATATGGCATTTCAGAGTGCAATAACTTCGACAATTTAGCCATGCTGGATGTGGGCTGGTATTGTATTGAAAAACCTTAATTGTCCCCGAAATTCTGCTTCAGTGTGTGTGTGTGTGTGTGTGTGTGTGTGTGTGTGTGTGTGTGTGTGTGTGTGTGTGTGTGTGTGTGTGTGTGTGTGTGTGTGTAAAGTCAGTCATTGTGTAAAACGAAATTTACAGACTGAAATTTGTACACAATTAGCAATTATTTTTCCTTCAGATTGTCTAAATGAAATTTAGAAGTTCCAAAGGGATTTCACACATCTGTGAAGTCCATTTCTGGTGTCCCCCGCCGTGACATTGCTGGAATATTGCTAAAAGCGGCGTAAACCAATATTCACACACTCACTTTAATACAGCACAATAGACAAATTATGCGAGGATAAGAAGCCAAAAAAGAATAAACTAATATACTTTGACTTTCGTTTTCTTTTAATCCTGTCAATTTCCGTCACATGCGTGATGAAATGGAGCATAGAAATGTTTGGAATTCGTTATCATAATTTAATAAATGAAAAAATAATTGTAAAATATTACATATTTATAGTACAAATTTCAGTCTGTAACATACATACTGAGTAAAATTAATGAATGACATACAATTATCATGGCAGAGAGGGAGAGTAAGAGTAACTATTTATTTTCAATTATTCTTACAAATAACGTGTCAAATGCATAAAAGCATATAAAATACATTATCTGGGAAAACCTTGATCAATTGATGTCCCTTACATGTCACCACAGTGGGATATTCAAGAATCTGCCTTTCTTCAAACAATAATGGGCGTCGCATGAGTCTCAGATCAGGGTATGCAAAATCATTCAACGCTTTTATATCAAGATGCAGGCATTTATCATTATTTCAACCTCATGACATCAAAGTAGTCAAAATCTCCTCTGAAAGTTCTGTTTACCTGAAATAATTGTTCAGGACGCTGGTTGTAGACAAACATTTCAAAATCAGCAATGTATTTCTCGCGGAGTCTTTCCATTTCTTTGAGTGTCACCATCGAATATGCTTGCAAAAAGGCCTCTTTCTTGTTGCCTTTAGCCGACGGCCCAGATCTCTTGAATGCTTCCAATGCCATGTTGAGATATTCGGTGACGGTGATGTTGCTACTCTGCTCGGGAGTGAGTGGGTACGGGTCCGTTTTTTCTATCATCCCTCCTATTTGTAACTGGCGCCATAGTCTCTGGTTTCCTGCGTGAAGACTTATGCAACTGTTCCATCCCTTCCTCAAGCCATACGATCTCGTAACTGCATTAACGATGTAATCTACCTTATACTCAGTATTCATATCTTTAAATATTATTTCATTGTCATAAGAACCTACCTTTTTCAAAATATACAGTGTGTCATCTTGGAACGTTTCCATCTTGCCATAACGTCATAGTCAACCACGCATGCGTCGCACCTATACGCTACAGGTCGAAGGTGAATGTCAATTGTTTTTAAGTTGCGGGAGTTTATATGTTTGACATATTCATCAAACGAAACATCGGAACCACAAGTCTTGGTTCCATCTGTGTGGGATGATCTGAACATCTTAATAGCATCTACACCGAGATTCCACATATAATGGTTTGGTGACAGAAGTTTATCTATAAATGTTGAAAATACCCTGCTGTATGGATCCCGAGCAAAAAGGAATTTAAGAGTTGTTTGGAGGAGTTTAGACATGTCTTCCGCATGGGCCGTCTCGGTCATATTGAGTGGAATCTTGGCATCGGATTCTTTGAAATCAAAATACGACAGCTGGAAAGGCGAAACAATTTTAGGATCTTTGCGCCTCATCACTTCAAAAGCTCTTCGCCAGAAGGTTGAGCCAGATTTTGCAATGGGACAATACATTATGTGAGGTTTATCCAGGAACCAGTGAAGATCACGTATTTCCCCTGGAGGCATCCGCTTTATTTCTTCTTGTCTCTGACAGTACTTTTCCATATATTGTTTCCTTTGGCGATATATATTTTCATTCTCGACCTGTGAGAAAACGTTTGAGAATGACATGATTGAAAAATGATACGCACACCATAAATGTAGCTTCCCTATATAACGGGACAGATTCTTTGATTTTTTTAATCTTTATTATTACAGGTTTGACGAAATCGTCATACGTATATATTATAATACTATTTTCATTCTCGACCTGTGAGAAAACGTTTGAGAATGACATGATTGAAAAATGATACGCACACCATAAATGTAGCTTCCCTATATAACGGGACAGAATCTTTGATCCTTTTTTAATCTTTATTATTACAGGTTTGACGAAATCGTCATACGTATATATTATAATACTATTTTCACATATGATGAACAGTATTCGACTGCATATCAGTTCAGAGAATGGTCCAATTGTCAACATTTGATTTATTGATCATTTCTTTTTCAAAACACCATTCTGAGATCTGAGACTACATTGACAACTGTGTCAGTGGCTTTATACTTGTATTATATTGATGAAAAAAATAAAGGACATGGAATTCATGTATTTCCCAGACCCGCATCCTATACTTGACCCAAAATTTATTTTGGCAATGTATGCAACACTAGATACCAAATACAAAAGGATAAAAAAAATTAACCGTTCTGCTTTATAACTGTCCCATAACTTAACCCCATCAGAACAATTAATTAAAAACTTCTGAGTTTTCAGTTTCCAGTCTGACCTGAAACCTTCGTCCAGCAGGTGATCCGAGGGCTGACAGCCATGGCTAATAAAAACGTGATTATATTTAAACATTCTACATGTGCACTGATTAAGGATATGTTAACTTACCACCATATTCCAACTTATCACCTTAGTCTGTTGTACTCTGTCCTTCAGTTGGCTTTGAAGATTATGAATATAATGGTTCACTATAACGTCTCTCATTTTGACATCTCTAGGTAGGTTCAGGCTCAACTGCAGCTGCTGGTGTACCGGTACAGGCAGAAGGTGGTCACTGTCAGGGGTATCTTAAACAACACATGTGAATCACTTGTAACATTTCTAGTAACTGTGCAGAGTACCCTCCTCACGTAAAGCTCACACATGATACAGTTTTCCTAGCAGCGTTAACCACACAAGTGAAAATGTGCGATCTGGTCCATCAAAATTCAGTACAAAGAGAGATAGTGTTGGATCTTGCACAGGCCAATGTACCTCGAAAGCCCTGCCTCAAAGATTACCAATAATCCTATAAACAAACAAGGAATGCCCTGCAATATATTCACAGAGAGTATTTGAGACAAGTGGAAAGTGGATTTTCAAAAACGCAGATGATTGGCTTAGATTTATGCAATCTCAGAAAAGAAACAAGTTCAGTCCTGTCAAAACATTTCATTGTCGGAATAGTATATATTAATTACATTTCTTATGGTTATTGAAAGATTTTTTCCAGCTTATAAATGGTCAGTTAAATAAAGACCACAATGTTATAGAATGAAAAAGGAACAGGGTCTTTATAATAGTGTTGGATCTTGCACAGGCCAATCTACCTCGAAAGCCCTGCCTCAAAGATCAACAATAATCCTATAAACAAACAAGGAATGCCCTGCTATATATTCACAGAGAGTATTTGAGACAAGTGGAAAGTGGATTTTCAAAAACGCAGATGATTGGCTTAGATTTATGCAATCTCAGAAAAGAAACAAGTTCAGTCCTGTCAAAACATTTCATTGTCGGAATAGTATAATTACATTTCTTATGGTTATTGAAAGAATTTGTCATGCTTATAAATGGTCAGTTAAATAAAGACCACAATGTTATAGAATGAAAAAGGAACAGGGTCTTTATAACATCTGTTTTCCTGTTGGACATCTGGTAGTTGGTAACAATATTGACCACGGCGTAGGTCATTAACAAACATCAACATGGGGCAGGTAGTGGATGATGTTACCATTCGTCCAAACGAATAACGCTATGTCATACTTACACATTACATGCAGAATCCACATTGTTAGCAGGGCAAAACATACAATGACAAGAAACCGTTTTCGCTGCTGTTTTCGAATGAACATGACTGGCCGAGTAACAAACAGCGCTATGACTAACGCCTGTCGCCTCGCACAGATAGATACCCGATGTTTTTTTCTGATCAATCTGATTCGCGCTGTACAACCGGGAGAACCCTATGCTGGCTCCAAGTTTCAAGGAACACGGCTCAAATAAGTCGAGTTATTTTATCATCGGATTTTCGTAACATTTTAATTTTAAGAGAGTAGAACAAGTATAGGCGTCTTCTTAATCTTAATCCTTCTAGTGATTAGGTGCACAGTTTTGATAGTAAATGGCAGCATCTACTCTTTGCAGCTGTAATTTGTTTTGTACATGTCTTGACACTGTAAATGCAGTCAGACAAATCAGTTTCTAGTCTCGATGTCTAGTCTCACAGTGAAAAGTCCATTCCCAAAAGATGTTAAAACATGGTAGTTGTTGTTACCCTCGTCATTAAAGGAATACAACCAGGATTGGTGTGCTCGGAATCAGTGTAATGTGTCTGAGTGGGGTATCCTTGTTAAACTGTATGGTATTTCAGGGGGCTAGCACTACAAACCGTATAGTACAAGCAGCCACACACACAAACGTGCATGCAGGTCGCTACAGAAGTGAAACCATCTTGGAGGCGCCGTTTAACCCCATTTCACCTCACAACAGCAAGTTGACTTTCATAGTTCGTGCATCGCGGTAATGTTTCCACTGATTTGTCTTCAGACTCAGTGTAATGTGTATGATTCAGGGTTTTACGCTTTATAGCGATGTTCTTACTATTCCTTGTGAGTTAAACCACGTTTATTTATGCATTTTGTGACAATTTTCAAATCAAAATGAGCTTGTTATTTTATTATGTCACTTATATACATTTTGAAAATGCATTTGATGAAGTGTCCGAGACTCCTTCAAGTTATTTTGATGATAAAATGGTTGGTGTGTTCAGTAGAAATCTCTATGTGTCATTACACAGACTTGAAAAGGACTGATTTCATGTAATGATGGATGTCCGTGTTATTTCACTTGAATTCATGTGGACAATTTGTATTCGTGACATAGCTTGTCATTTGAATTTAAAGTGTACAGTAAACTACGGTTATAACGAACACGCTTATAACGAACTGACGGATATAACGAACTTACTTTTTTTGTCCCTACTATTTGCTGTAGTTATGCTGTATATATGCTTATAACGAACTACGGTTATAACGAACCAAAATTAGTAGTCCTTTTGAGTTCGTTATAACCGTAGTTTACTGCATATGGAATTCGGGGATGTATGTATTCAAAACCGGCATCCCTGAAACAGAATTTGTAAACACTTTCCAAAATTGCGGAATGTTCACTTTGGCGTTCGTGTTTGCGTAACCACTAATCCAGTCTAAGCAATAGTAGGGGCATTAGCCACGTTGGTGTCTTGATTTCAAAACACTCATGATATAATGCTGGGAGTGATTTAGAGGAGATATTTACCGTTAAACTAATTTCCAGAGGTCGTTTCTAGAAATGTCCCTGTGCCTAAAATGACTGCGTACGATATGACATAATACACAATCTCCTGCTAAATCTATCACCGTGAACTGTTATAAGTGCGTGATGTAGTGTTAGAGTTATTCGACACAGACAATGTGCTGGTTGAAAAGCAATGTCATACATATATTTAGATGAGTTAAACGACGTTGTTGACGCTATGCAGACAATATTGTTGACGTTATGTAGGTATTATTTTTCTTACACACCTGTTGGTGAGAAACCCAAACATATGTGTGAGATCGCTTTCCAGGCCCGTGATTGGTTACTTCATGGTGATGACCTGAGGTCAGATGATGACGGACTACTTTCCTGAGTGTAAGTCATTCAATCGAATGTTCACCATCACCTGTATTGAAAAACAGGACCGTGTAATTAATAATTAAAATAAACAAACTCGTCCTCGTCTGCGAGTTTGTTTGTTATTATTATCAGTTACAGTATCTGTTGTTATGTCAACATTATCGTTTTTCAGAATGTAAACACCCTGGATGCCACAGCGACACATATGTCCCTCCTCTTCAACCCCCACTTCGAAGTCGACTAAAATTCAAAATACATCACGCAAACTAATACACTTAAGAGTTTTGAATTCCCCCTTCTGTTTATGATTAACTGTTATTTTAGGCAAAGCAAAATTACTAATAGTGACAATTACTGAAAATTAGGTACATTGTAAATCTCGCCAAATCACAATTCACGGCGTTATTTACTGTGTGTTAAGAAATCTAAATATCGGATATGTACTCGAATGATTAAAGTAAAAAATTAGCATATTAGTGATCACGGGTATCAAATCACTAATGATAATTCTGAAACGTCGCTGATAAGCCTAGAATAGTTTAGAATGTTTTGGAAAATACACATACACGAACGCCGAAGTGTACGTTCCGACATATTGGATTGCGTTTACAAAATGCCGGTTATTAGACGCCTATTCGATCAGGTATTTTTCAAACTCAGCTGCTATAAATGCATCATTTTAGAAACAAATGACAAGTGGTCTTTGTCACAAATGCAAATTATCTAGAAGAAATCATGCGAAATAAATTATGTATGGAAAGGAAAACTGTGCTCGGAAAACTGTACTTGCTGAAATGTAAACAAAGCAAAATTCAGATTTTATACTGTGTAGCATTTTTAGAGGTACTTTCGTCTAATTGTTGCATACATTGGCTCAATCACGCATTTGAGAATATTCATGGGAAGAGTATTGTTGCACTAATTATGGCATTACTCATATATACATTACAATGATGTGTGACGCCATGTCTGACGCTAAATCACGCACAACTATGACGGTAGTTATCTGCATTTCTGACTAATTCTCTTTGTTACATTGAAAAACATGGTAAACAAATAACAGTACACAGATTGTCAGAACGTTTCTGATTACTTACGTGACACATTTATGTATATACGATGCCTCAATCAACGAAAGTCATCCTCTGGAAATCCCGCGTACTGTTGTCAGTGAACACGCCATTTTGTAAAGGTCGGTCACCGGTAGTGATGTTATACGGAAGTAAACATTGTTGTACATATTTGGTAATTTCTTTGAGGTGTCAACTTTTAACTCCGCACCAAGCGTGTTCTTTGTTCTTGTCTAGTATGCATTATCATCACCTTCTTGATAATCCACAGATATGGCGGAAACCTTTTTGTGTAAGGTCACATTATTTATGATTAGTAAGCAGTACATAGAATGACGTCACTTATGACACTGGTGTTATGTGTTAATGCGCTACTGCAATCATGAGAATAGACAAAATGCATCGGTTCGATGCTAAAAAGGTGCGATTTTAGGGTGTGTAAGAAACAGATTACTGCACTCGTGCCTGTCAAATACCACTGATCTTTCAACTCGTTGTTACAAAGCGTATCTAAATCGCTTACACTCGTCAGATGCATGGTATCTGACAGACACTCGTGTACTAATCTCTATCGACGTGATATTTAATACCCCGTATCTGGTGAACTCACCAGTTTCATTCGGCAGAATTACCTCACAGTGCTTCGTTATGTTTCAAAATGACATTATTAGAATAACGCCATGACGTCACGTGAATTCTATCGAGAGCAGGTAAGGACGCTTGTAGACTTCTACCCCGTGAACATCCGGGTCTTGGTCTTGGTCTTCAGCAACCCATGCTAGTCGTAACGGGGTAGGATTCAAACATTGGTTCATGTCAAATAGGAATTTGCATCAGGCATAGTTTCTGTCACTGATGCCTCGAAAATGGCAATGTCCTCCATATGTCAAACATAAAACGTTTTGAAAATTGTACTAAAGCCTTGAATGTTGTAACCTGATCAAATAACGTTTATCGCCCTTTGAAATCTTCGCAGTGAGAGCGTTCGAGATTGTACCCCAAAAGTTGTGAAATATAGACAACAAAGGCTGGAGCCGCTGCAATATTGCTCGAAATATAGGGAAAGTTGACTATTGGAAAGTTGAAGTCATCCATCTTATCATACTGTCTCGTCGATAGTGTTTTGCCACCCTGAATCTTTATGCATAGAATTAAGTATGAAACATGTATATATGCGGTGGTTTCACTTGTAGCTTGTATTTCTGAGGTTGGAAATCAATGGAAGGGAATCGCCTATTTGACCATTATTGAAAGCTATCATATTATCTATGTACCTGAAGCTTCAGTTAAACAAATTCCCTTGTTTTATGTTTTCAATCCGAGAAACAATTCTGACTCGTATGCATAAAGAATCAGACCACGGTTGGTGCCCATAGGAATGTTTATCCTGGCTTATATGTCCTATCCTCACATTACACATAGAGATTATCAATGAGGATATACAGGATTTCATATACGTATTGTTTTCTCAGTGTGACTACAGCCGCGTCATACCAAAAGACGTTAAAAGATGGTAAACTTGTTGTAACAAAGACTGGTCGGCTCGGAGTCGGTATACTGATTCTAAGTGGGGTATTCATGTTAAACTGCCACACACACACACACACACACACACACACACACACACACACACGTGCATGCACGTCGCTATATAGGTGCAATAATCTTGGACCCCATTTCACCTCACCTCACCACATATGGTTACCAGGTTCAGTGACAAATGCCCCAATAATTTTTTTAGACGATAGTCGTGAGGGATAGTGGAGTACAAGGTTGAGAAATCAAATGTTTTGACATAATAGAACTTGATGTACTTTTCTGAAATTGCAGACAATCAACCAAATCCTCGAATTGTTTGTTCGGCATTACTTACAAGTTGGCGGATGACTAAGTAGAGATACTTAATGGATAACAACGTCTTTATGTACGTTTCGCCTTGCTTGACAACGGAATAAGGAGCTATACCGAAAAAGAAAATAAAGAAGTTGTTATCCATAAATTATCTCTACTTTGCAAATCATTGTAGCGCCTTGCATCTCATAAGTGTTATATTTACTTCTTGTTTACCTCACTTATATTATCTTTTTGTATGACTCATATCTTTTTTTCAAGTATAAGACAGAAAAAAACATTCAAGAAAATATCG